AGGACGACACGCAGCATGGGCGGTTGTGGGCAGGGAAGTATTGTTACCAGACTCACACCTGTAATAGAGCCGTCTCTGAGCATGTTCAGTTCCTCTCCGTGCTGAAATCGCGCATTTATAATACATATAAGGGTCTAGATACTCGATGAATGGAGTGAAGTATGATACAATAGACATTGTCCTTTTGCACGAATATCGCTCGTGACAAAGCCGGCCAGTGGTAGCAATGCGAAGATAACCACCGGCTACGTTCACGCATGAGAAGCCTGGAACCGAACTGAAGCGACCATGAGCTGGCCTGGAATAGGCTTGAACTTTTCGAGATACTCTTTGTAGGCATCACTATGCGACTATCAGTAGAAGCAACCCGTGCGCCGCAGATCGACCTACCTTGGCGGCCTGCGGTCAGCATAGATATTTCCCCACATGTAAACTTCCGCCGCGGCGATGGTCAAGATTGACTACAAGCTGCGCTCAGCAAGTCATGTGGCACGCGACGTGAGAAAGGCTACGTACGGGCATACGGGCACGCATGGCGCTGAGCATGGTGATGTAGAAAAAGGTTCTGGGGACGATCTGGGTTTTGCTGAACCTGACTGGACCCTCATGCGACCCAGCGACCCAGTCTATATACCTCCCTCAACTCCGGTGAGCGACCGTCCTGCAGGAGGCCACAGCGTCCATACCAAATTCTAGGCCGTAACATTACCGTGCCGGCGCTACCTATTCTAAGCAGTATGAGCTCCGTGCGCTGTTAGAATGGTATGACAGTCAGCGAGTGAACCTCGGGCGACGTCTATGAGTGCACGTCGAGCTCTAGGCGGACCTGCTCTCGAGCGCCAAGGATGCTGAATGAGAGTTGCCGTGATTCCTGGTTCGCGCGTTCACGTTTAGTGTCCATTTCGGGCATAAAAGGCTACCATCTTACTCAGGGCCTCTGTAATTCGCCATGTCCGCCGGTTTACCTGAAGTTCAATGGTAGCATATGGTGCAAGCTGCGTCGGAGTAATCGGCGTGTCGCCGCCGGAGGCGCACGGGATGAGGTAGCGCCATAAAAGGCTGGCTTCCGGGAAGCCCTACGACATCAGACGGATATGAAAAGTGCATATGAAATATACGGTGTCGATATGGCCCTCGAATCTCATGTAGTTACAAATCCGGCAGTTCTCTCTGTACAAGTCTTGTCCATGTGCTCTCTCGCCACCAGTCCTCCATCGCGTCGAGACGTTCCCACAGCGTCTCTTCATCAACGTTGTAAATCTCGTATTTCGCGCCGGTAAGCACCCTAGCATCACGTCTGGCTACCTCCATGGCGGCCCTGTTCTCTCCTCTGCAGCGCACGTCTGGTCAGCGGAGCATGTAGTGAACGAGAAGAGCTAACCTCAGCAGTTCCAATAGCTCCTTTCGATCCGGGAAGAACAACCGTGGCTCGAGCACGGCTAATATTCCCAATGATGCTCGAAATAGAAACGAGTCACCCTCTAGGAGAAGGATGTCCCACAGGCGAGCACATGCTTCAAATGGCAGGTGATCCAAGAATAGCGGGATCAACCAGGTTGGGAGGTACGCTGCCGGCGATATTTGGTGTTGCTTAAAGTTGAAGTAGACTGGAGTAGTGGGTGTAAGTATCGTATCCGCATTGAGACACGAGACAATATACTTTTAGGCATGCCGTCAGCAAGCAAGGTATCGAATATACTGTGACTTAAAAGTGAGTGCCTGACGGACATCCAGTCCCAGCGACAAGTCGTACCGGTAATACGCTTCTACCTGCGGGCAGGTTAGCATGGATTCGAGTCTAAAAGCTGCGGACCAGCTTACATCGGCTCTGCACGCCTCGCTTCCGTAGAACGACCGCAGGCAATGCCGTTCGAGCAGGTTTCTTAGGACAATGAACCCGGGTGAGGGTGCCATATTTAGTAGAATCATAGCTGCGATCTTGGCTACACCCTTGACGTAACCAAGACCTTCGTCGGACCGTGCAACAACCCAGGCGCAGAGCATGTCTTTCAGGTCCTGATATAACGGACCCCGCTCCGGTGCGAAGAGGTGTAGTGAAGGCAACGTGCTGGCAATATCCTCTTCAATGAGATCGAGAACCGGTTTGGGGAAGCTGCCTGCGGAGAGGGCACGATTCACGCGCGACACACATCGTTTGAAGGCGTCTGTCCGCCTGATCATTAGCAATAGCAATAGACGAGAAGGGACGCGCGAGGGCGCACCATTGCTCATAGCGAGTCCATTCCCCACGGCATTCTGCCACATTGTGGCGCGCAGCTTCGAGGGGATGCCTTTCCACCATAGCTTTCGAAGAGCCGGCTTTTTATATACCATACGCCAATTGGGTAAGATCTCTCGCTGCCAGTGCACGAGTGATTCTTCTATCTGACTCTCCCTCGTGAGACGTCGCTCTTGCAAAGCCTTTCGTCTTTTTTCCTCTGGAAGGTAACAGGACAGAGACCGAGCATGTCAATGTAGCATAAACAAGAGGACACCGAGCGTGTAAGAAGACTGCATTGGTTATCTATTACATATGCCACAAGGAGGAGCTCTCTTTCAGACTCACCAGCTGCTCGGCTGCGCTTCATCATGATCTCCCAGTCGGCCATATGCCTATCGTCCTCTTCGCGGGGCTTCGGTGGGAGGTAGGTCGGGCGTGTCCTGTTGACAACTTTGTCGAGCATACTCGGGCCGACGGACCTGGACGCGCGGTGCATGGCTGTGAAGGTACTAGTGGATGCATTGAACTGAGCGGAAGTCGGTGTAGGCAGCGAGGTCGAAGCTATCATGGGAAGAGAAGCCGTAGATGAGACACTGGTTGCTGATTGAGGCGTAACGGGAAGAGGGACCGTTGTTGCGTCGAGCTCTGGCTCAATATGAGGAGGAGGCGTTGAAGGGGTATGGCTGTGCTCGGGTTCATTAACTGGTGGAGGTGTGGCCGCCTTCGCTACGATAGAGTCTGCGTGCTCTTCGGAGGCCTCCATCTGCACAGCAGGATACTCGGCGTCCTGAAGGTCGGACTCTTCGCTATATTCTTGGATTTCCTCCTGTGCGCCTTTATCCGGATGAGGGGACTCAAGGCTCACGGACGAGAATTCGGTCGAGAGAGCGATCTCATCGAGGGCTTCGGACTCGGAGGTATAAGAAGCCGTCCGGGATCGTAGTGATAGAGGCTGCTGGGTCGGTGGGAACGACCGGTCGTCGTAGCGTCCGTCGATGTCGAAGGTGGACACGGACGCGTGAGGCTCCTCTGCAAAACCTATCCTGCCTGTATTATCGGCGAGCTCGTGATCGGTGGGCCAGCCAGACTCTGCAGTGATGTAGCTACTGAAGTTCTTCTCGAGCTCTTGGCGTATAGCCGCGGGGGAAAACTCGTACGGCAAGTCGTCGTCTAGCGTGTCTGAGAAGGCGTCGTCTAAGACAAACGGCTTGGGTATAGTCGACTTCGCAGGCGTTGGCTGGCGCAGTGGCGGCGAGTGGAGCTCGTCCTCCGAATGGACGCTCATGGCTGCCGTATACAATGAGAAGGGTTACGTGTGGGAAGGTGAGAGCGACGAGTAAATGCTATGCTTAGAGCAACCGCACATCACACTGACACTCCCCGCAGCTGTTCCTAGCTGTTCCCCGCCCAAGCGCGCGCGACGCGTTACGCGTGTGACGGCCTACGCTGACTCTCGAAACTCGACCGGCGAAGCTTAAGCATAGAGCTCTGTGAGTACGCATCTCGAGGTAATCTGCAGAGATATCATTGACATGACAAGTCGCTCATGATTGCAGAAGTACTTCTTGTCCTTGCGGGCCATTCGTCCTCCCTTTTCCCCACCGACCACAAGGTCCATCCTAATTTTGCGCCTCTCCTTCATCCCGGAGAGCAACAATGTCTCGAAGCTTTGGCACGGATAGCCTGCATATACCGCAAGATCAAGCAGACCTCCAACGATCTTGCACGTTCACCGTCACGATATGTATCGGCTTTATGCGCGACATTGAACCATATCCTGCGAACAGAATACGAAAGCCTGGTCGTCGACACAGAAGCCAAAATCCTCAAGCGCGACAGCAGCCTCGTTGCTAGAGGCTCTTTCGTCCCACTGTCATCTATCCGTGCCATATTCGCCGAATGGGATGCACCTCTTGTAGCTCTGGAGTCCCTCATGGACGAGCTACAATCAACAGCACAGTGGCAGCCAGGACCACTCATTGACCTACTTCTAGCCCGCTCTAATACAGGCGTACATCGCACCGCATCCATCTATTCTCGTCTTTGTGAAGCTGTCCAAAGAGTCTGGATCGCACAGCTTCAGGCTTTCATGATTCATGGCTCCGTAGCATCCACCGACCCTTTGGCATCTTCCGACTACATGCTCTCAGAAGGTGCCATGCCTAACTGTGTCTCAACCCAGTCTCGGGACTCTATTGCCTACGTCGGTCGTGCCATCGGAACTGTGAAGGCGGCTCGATGGGAGAAGCAGTTCCCCAGGCAGCAGGCCATGGAACACACCAAGCACCTAGACAGCGTCCTGCCCCAAGATCGCTATGAGTTCGACCGGATCATCGCAGACATCCGTATTGCTGTTAGCGAGTGGTTATGGCTTAATGTCCTGACTCAGAAAGATGTCGATGACGCCGTCGAATCACTGTGGGTGTTTCTCTTGATATCAGTATGTGTGTCATTAAGTCTCGTGTAGAGCGAGCTACTTCTTGCTACGAAACGGCGAATTTGCGCTGTCTCTCATTCGCGAGATCGAGCGGTTGAAGATGTCCAGGCTTACTGGCAGGACAGGGCCGAACACAATGATCAGGGAACAAGACTTGCGACTTGCTCTCCTCCGCGCCTCGCTCGGTACGAGTGCTCAACATGATGCTTCGCTTTCTCGCCTCAGCTTCCAGCTGCCGACTGGCCCTCTCCGTCCTTTGCTACCTTCTTTTGGTCACGGTCCCTTGGTCAACGATGTGTTGGCATCAATGAGCAATCTGCCAGAGCACACGCCGTTCGACGATCTGTTGCTTGGCACCCCGCTTATTCTCAACTACAGTGTATCATGGCCACTGGACCTCTTCTTGCACGCATCTGACTTGCGAATCTACGCCGCACTCTTCGCCTATCTCTCCTCGCTACGTAAAACGCACACGCGCGTGCACTTGTGCTGGACAGCCCTTTCCAACGCACAACGGGCACGGCGAAGATGGACCGGCCTGGGGGAAGGCGGTACCGCAGAAGACCTAGAAGTGCGGAAAGAACTGCTGCGGTGTGGCTGGGGCGTCGTCCGTGAGATGAGCTGGTTCCTGGACACCCTACTGGGCTATGTTATGACGGAAGTTGTTGACATCGAATTCCGGAGACTAAAGGTCTTGCTCGCGGGAAAACCTGCTGCGATTGCCAGACAGATGACGGGTGGCCAATCGCGTGGCGATTTGAACCCGGCTTCAGCATCAACCTTTCCCACATCCCACAGCACCGCGTCCACTGTGTCGTCCACGCATCTAGACTTCACAACTTTGCGCCAGCTACACGCCACTTATCTCGAACGACTCATCACTGGTTGTCTGCTGTCCAATTCAGCTCTGACATCTGTCATTCGCTCAATTCTCGAGCTCTGCGAACAATTTGTCGCGCAGGTCGAGCGATGGGGCGGAGACATCCTGCCAGAACTTCTATCCGAGGGCAGTCTAGGCGCAAGGGGCGACAGAGTGGGCGAGATGGTAGAAGAACGAAGGAAGATAGTCGCGGAAGTCAATGATGTAAGAGGACCCTGGAATTGTAGCTCCGTATAGCATGCTAACGATCGCTGTTCCTAGGCCCTGAATGCGCTGCTCGAGTCGTTTTATGAGCAGCTATCGTTATCGACAACTCAGCAGCCTTTCTCGGCGGGTCCTGACGCCTCGAAATCGACGATGTACAATATGAGCACGGCGAACACGACGGGATTCCACACATTCATTCGGCCGAAGCGTGGTAAAGGCCTTGCGGGCGACGAAGAGGTCCGACGGCACGTCGAGAGACTGTTGCTGCGTTTGGACTTCAACGGCGAGTTCTCAACGCATAGAGTCGGCCGGCGAGCAAGGCAAAAGGGCTTGGACATTTTGAAGGAGGGCGGACTCACGTAGTTCGCGTCTTTGACGCGTTTGATGGCGCAGCTATCTGGCAGAGCTTCTGTCAATTTGCAGACGAATGGTGCTACTTTTCAGCAGATGTAGACGTGGCAGGCGGCGATTCAATATATTCGAGACGAGTACGTTAAGTCAAGGTGGTGAAAACGGTTTGAGATTATCCGATCTGAGGTTGATGATCGCGTCAAGAAGTAGTTTATAACTGTCACATCGCATGAGTCTCCCAGCTGCTCTTCGCCGTCTCTCTCTCCAGTCCCGCCATCTCCACGCCTCTGCAACCATGAGCAGCCGTTGGTCCATGTCATCTTCAGCCTTCCCGTCGCCTCGCTGAGCGTTCTCCTTGCAGAGTATACCACTCGTCAGGTCGGCGCTGCCAACACCCTTGGTGAGCCTCTTTGCTGGCAATCCAATTGGCGAACTCAAGCTCATCGCTAGACATACAGAGCACCGTGTCTTCATCGAGAGAACGTCTGACCACCTCGTCGTTTCCCCATTCCACGACATTCCTCTCTTCGCTGACCAGAACAATGGCGTCCTCAACATGATCGTCGAGGTTCCCCGCTGGACCAACGCCAAGATGGAGATTTCCAAGGAAGAGGCCTTCAATCCCATCAAGCAGGACATCAAGAAGGGCCGTCTGCGCTACGTCCGCAACTGTTTCCCCCACCACGGCTACATCTGGAATTACGGTGCTTTTCCCCAGGTGGGCCAGCCTGGTTTTCCTGTCATGATTCAGCCCGCTCAGAGTTATGCTTCGGCAGACCTGGGAAGATCCGCAAGCGGTCCATCCCGAGACCAAGGCCAAAGGTGACAACGATCCTCTCGATGTTTGCGAGATCGGCGAGCAGGTTGGCTACACCGGCCAGGTCAAGCAGGTCAAGGTTCTCGGCATCATGGCCCTCCTTGACGAGGGCGAGACTGACTGGAAGGTCATCGTCGTCGACGTCAACGACCCCCTCGCGTCCAAGCTGAATGACATTGAGGACGTCGAGAACAACCTCCCCGGTCTCATTCGTGCGACCAACGAGTGGTTCCGGTGCGTTTATTCTTCGTCACGCGACTCGTTCTACAGCGTTGACGGAACACCTTCTCAGCATCTACAAGATTCCCGATGGCAAGCTCGAGAACCAGTTCGCATTCTCTGGCGAGGCCAAGAACAAGAAGTATGCTACCGAGATCATTCACGAGTGCCACGAGGCCTGGCGCAAGCTAGCAGTCTCTGGCGAGAGCCCTGCCAAGACCCCTTCCTACGACCTCTCGATGTACGTGTGCACTCTCCAAATCTCTAAACTCAAACCTTAGCTAGTACTCTGTTAGCCGCAACACTACCCTCCAAAGCACTCCTGGCTACACCTCCAAGAACGATGCCGCCTACCAGGGCATTCCTTCCGACTCTAGGAAGCCTCCTGCTCCCATCGATGGTGCCAGTAAGCAACACGCTTACCTTCTGATATCCAATGTCTAACTTCGTTCCTTCAGTCTCCAAGTGGTTTTATATCTCCTCTGCCCAGGTATAGACCACTTCCATGTAAAATAACAGATTTGAGTAGTAATTGCTTGTCGAAGGACGACATCGACAAAAATATACCTTCCAATGCACCGTTGCGCTCTCGCATTTGAAGTTAAGAATCGAATAGCAAACATGAAGAGGGTATCTGGATTTTCACATGCACAATTTAGACGATGCAGAGCAGTCACCTCGAGGCCAAGACGTTTGAAAACAGCATGCACGAGACATTAGCTAATGCAATATACTAAAGCTACATATTTACACTATGAAGGCAAAGGGTATGTATTCACGAAGCCTCTGTACTACTTCCTAGAAGCCGGCGGTGTCATCGTCTTAATTTTTCCAGCGTGCCCTCCTGTGCAGGCGGGTAGCGGCAATACTTGTCTGAGATGAATGTTACCGTCCAAGTGCCCTCGAGTGCAGAAAAGATCGAGTATTCATTCGTTGTTACACCCGAGACGGTGTGTGTCTCGAGGATCTTGCCTTGCTGGCCCTTCTTATTTGGCAGCTCGGCGCGCTGATATGTGAAAGTGAATGGTGGCTCGCCGATGAGTGTGAAGACGATTTCGGCTTGGTCACCTGTACGACCGTGACTCAGTGGTTAAGTCTAACTGTCAACGGTCGCACTCACCCTCGTGGATATCTTGCACGATGCGCTTTCCGTGTCCAACCTGCGCCGCCGGCAGCTGACGCACCTGATAGCGCAAATCTGTCACACCTGTCTTGCACATTTTCTGCTGATGAGCAATCGATGTGATGGCGAATTCGCCAGGCTGTTGTTGGATGAACGAGAATGGCGACGCCCGAGCCTCCTGCGTATACGCCTTGCCGTTGACCTTGTATCTGCAGGTGGTCAGTATAATTCTGCAAGATGCAAGAACTTCAGAAACTTACCCGATGGTCCATGGTGGCGTGCCCTCAAGTTGGAAGTGCGAAACATCACCAACACAGTAATGCTCCTTTCTATCGAATGGTACAATCGCTGCGGTCTCCGCGACGTCCAGCCAGATGCTTCTTGACATTGGATCGGGCGCAGCCTGCGCACACCCAGAGGCGTCCTGCACGGACTCAATCGTGATGACGTGTGGGCCAATAGATTTGAAGGTGTAAGCAGGAACGTTCAACTTCCAGCTATGCTCATCCAGAACCACAGTCTCATGGTATATATCACTCGCAGCGAGATTCTTAATGGAGATCTGAAGTCGGAATGGCGGCGTTCCAGACAGCTGAATGAACCCATCTCCGCTGTGCAGATCGTGCGGCGTCAATGTGTCACCCATGCAGTACGTGACGCGGTTTTGATTTTTGAAGCGAGTAGAAGGACGCGTGAGCACTTGCTGCTCAAACAGCAGACGTTGCGATCGTGGGATGGTGGCCTCCCTGTGATTCGATAGAGGATAGGCCGCATCTCCAATTTGCTTGACTTCATAGTATATGCGGGCGGCTTCGTCGGTATGTAGCTGGAAGCGCGTCCGAGGCTGGATGCTGCTGAAGGTTGGCTGATCCAGGATTTTCGTGCCACCACTTGAATCGTCTCGAGCGACATTGTACATAATCTGGAAAGGTGGTCGCCCTGGAAGATGCAAAATTAGTATGTCTAACAAATGAAACAAACGCTACACACCTGTGAGGTCCAGATCCACATGATCAGAAAAACCCTCGCAAACTGGCGATAGGATATGTGAACTATTATACGGCTCGTATGTGGCCTGTACTTCGGACGCGAGCCTGGCGATAGGTCTAGACACCCAGTCGACCGCATAGTTGGCGGCGTCTGCGTTGATTTCTCCTGGACATTGAGAGTCCCACACCTCGAGAAGCTCATACAACCCCTTCTCGGTCACGCGCAGCTCGTCGTTAGGGGTTGACAAGGTAGCGGTAAAGACTTGATGAGATGTTTCGGCACGACGATACTTGATGCGCCATGGCCCGTCGCCCGTGAGGCGAAGCGGGAGTGTTGCCTTCTCGCCTTCCAAGGTGGTAACCTGACGCTTATTGCTGGGGCCATAGAATTTTGCGGTGGGCTACCAGAAATACATGAACCAATGCATCAAATGAGGGCATGGATACATGTACGCACCTTGACGCGACGAACGTTGGCGATAATGCCGGGAACGGAGATGGAACGCTTGCAGCCGTATGCATCTTCGATACTCGCTGCACGACTGGTCATCAGCACTCATACGTTATAATAAATACTAGATATCTTACCAAGATCAATCTCGAAAGTGCCACCATCTCTGTCGACAACAGGCGGTATTGGAACCTGAATACTCTTCCTCGAGTTCGTAATCTTCGGAATGTGGATGATTTCCGAGCCCTTGGGACCGACTACTTGAATGTCAAGGTTCCATGGACCGGTGCCCTGACCGATAACAATCAGATCAATATGCAAATGGCGAAAACAAGCCAAGCAATCCAACCTTGAGATCGACGTCAACATCGACGACACTTCCCGAGCAGCTACTAATTTTCTTGCGACTCCTCGTCCCAGCAGTGTTGTGCGCGAAGTCTGCCGACGCGGGCGGATGCACGATCTGATCAATGCTCGGGCCCTTGAGCGCTACCTTCCTGTAGTTCTGGTCACTGAGATGTGTGAAGGTGAAAGTATAGTGTCCGCTGTCCTCCGGCTGAATCGTAAATTCACCACGTGACGTCGCAAAGGTCTTGGAGAACTCTTGAACGGGGCCTTTGTCCTTGCGCTGAGTGTAGTACACCTGGAAGGGGGGTGCACCATGCAGGACAAGGGCGGCTGACACTCCAGTATCTCCAGAGCTAACGCAACTGTGAGTGAAGCACGCGTAATGTTAAGAAAAATTGGAACCCACCATTCATGTATCTTCTTCCACTCAATCTCAGCGGTGGGGATTGGCCTCTCGACAACTTTACAAGTATCAGGACTAAGGACGTCGCCCTCGCAGTACTTGCCCTTTACGCTTATAATCGAATACTCTCCAGGCATGTTGGCCTGAAGCGTGAACTCCTTCCGGTTACCAGGAGAGGTGATGGTCTTCGTCCATGGCTTGAGCTTCTTGTACGTCTTCGACACGTCCTCGTCTGCAAGCGGTGCAAATTTCATATCCACGTCCCAAGGAGCGTCCAGTCCATCAGACTCTTTCATGGCGAGGGTCAGTGCCGTTTCAGAACCAATGAGGAGCGAAGCGGGCTGGCCAACATCGCAATGCCTGAAGGAGACACTTGGTCGACGAAGAACAGTGATAGAACGTGCTGTAAGATTGTGATGAGGCGTGTTGGTGTGACTTACGTGTGCACCAGCTTGCACAACGTTACCAAGGGCGTCCGAGACCGACTCTAGAACGTATGAATGTGTGCCAAGCGAGTCGAGATTGACCGTAAGGGGAACGCTGAGCTGCTGAGCTGCCCTCCGTCCAGAGCCAGCGAGTCGCCACTTGTCGCCATTGGGTCGGTGGGTATGAAAATCTTCCCCCTCGATACCCTCAACCATGAAAAGCTCCTGCTTGCCATTGATCTCCCGACGCCACTTCAGGCTGAGTGGAGGTACACCATAGACGTCGATCTTGAGTTCAATTTCTTCTCCTGCACCGCTCTTTAGTCCCGGAGAAGCGCAGCGCATGTTGTCGCCGTGCTGAATGACGTTGTGCTCTGCGAATGCAGCGCCCGGGCAAGGAACAATGGGGACGTCGATTGGGTAGATCAAACGAGCTTCAACGCCAGATGCATCCAAGACGTCTTCTAGCCTGAGAGCCCCGGGCTTTGTGACGCGAATGTGAACCAAGGATTGGCTCTTTTGCAAAGATGGAGAACCGTGGGTCGGTGTGAATTGCTCGTCGTCGTCGTCGTCGTCGTACTCATCGTAGTCTTCCTCAGATTCGCGCTTTGCAGACGCCGCAGAGCGCGCAACTTGCAAGGACTCCTGACGGGAGTTCTCGATCGCCTTCAGGTCCTTCGCGCTCAGCTCGAATTTCTCGATCTTGCTGACCGCGCCTTTAGTCTTCTCCTGCTCTCCCGACACGTCCTCAATGTACCCTAGTGGGGTAAGTGTATACTTGAGGTTTACAGAGTTGGTGTTGTTGAGCAAGACCGGGACGAGGAGGCTTTGCCCGGGGGCGAGACAGAAGGTTTGACTGTACGGGTTGAGCTTCGCGGTGCTGATGGGTGACATACGGACAGTATGTTGACCAAGAAGGTGAGAGTCGCGATTTCCACTGCCAACGAGGCCCCCCAGTCCGAGGGCGGGAAGAACCTCCGATAAACTGAATAGCGGTGCAGTAGTGGCGACTTCTCCGTGGTGGCCTACGTGACAAGGGATATAAACGTGAAAAACATGCGTTGGTTCGACAGCAAGGACCACTCACTAGCCGTGAACATCCGCGGTATGAGAGCTTGAATGTCTCCAGCACCAATATCCACGCGTATACCGCCAAAAAAGAAACCGTCCAGCAACCACAGGATTGCGATTTGTAGCAAGACCACAGATTTTGCGTAGTTGAGTCTTGGTATCCGCAACGACGAGAGACTCATGCAGTAGATGAAATCCCATATCAACCATTTGAAGGTGTATTTCGCTTGCTGTCCCTCGCTGAAGAGATACCGGAAAAAATCGAAGACTTTGATGGCCTACAAGGTATGCTAGTCAGTACACGTCTACGAAGCCGTGAATGGTCATAGTAGGCAGAAAGGTCGAAGACGCGACGTCACTGGTGGTAGCAAATGATAGCACGCACCTGAAGAAGGGCTCCAACACTTAGAGCGTATAGCCTCTGTGAAGGAATATCGATATACTTTTCGGCTATCCGTGGTGGCGGATGAGGCGTGCTTGGTGCTTTCGACATAGCGGTCTGCAGCCAGGCGAATGGGTATTGGACCGGTTATTAAGGGTGCTGCGGTCGTTGCTAACAGATTTGGTCGTCGAGAAAGGGCATGAACAGGTCGTGGGCGGAAGGTCTATAGTTGTGGAGGGCAAGTTCGGTGGACATTGGACAATGATGAACGCGCCGGAGCACATGATCGCACAGAGAATAAGCGCCCACAGGTCGCCAGGATTTGCTTCCACGCGAGGGTTGCGTGCACGATGTTCACACACAGCGAGAGAAGACCAGGGTTATAGTACAAATGTACACGATATTTACAGTCCGAACATTGGTATCCTACAATTAGCTGAGCAACCAGAAGACGAAATAAGCACCGAGCAAGCCAAGTAAGACCTTCGCCTGGGGATCAAGTTTGCTGAAGAAATTGGCACCTGGCAATTCGGGGGCGGAAGGGGCCGGCGAGCCACCTAAGGTCTGTCCTTTTCCTTGAAACGTAGCTGTGGAGGGCGACCCAGACGCATGTTTGCGCACGGTGGACTCAAGTGCTCTGTTCCCACATGTTATGAATGTCGCGCGGCATGAGAGCAGATGTAATACGTACGCTCTGTTTGCCCCTTGGACTTCATCTACTTTCGTGCTACCCTTGAGGAAGACAAACGTTGGCCTAGCATGCATTACTTGGCAAGCGGTCCAAGACATAACACAGCACAGATATACGCACATGGCTGCGACTTTGTACTGCCCCGAAACGTCGCTCGCAGCGTCCACGTCACACTTCAGGAAGTTAACATTCTGGTACTGCTTGGATAGTGCCTCAAACGTTGGAGCTATCATATGGCATGGCCCACACCTGCGCCGAACGCATCAGCCTAGATACGTCGCTGCACGTTACCCACCGCCCTGTTAGGCTGCGCACCATGTTGCGTGAAAGTCGATGACGGAGAGTTTATTCTTGTCTTTCGACAAGATGCCGTTGAGTTGCGAAAGGGAGGTAATGTGTGTAATTGACATGGCTAATTGGCGAGATAGTATGTCACTGGAAGACAGCGAGAGTGCATAAGCCTGCTGCCACGCTTCACGTGATCGGCGTTTATAGGACCAAACAAGACCACACGCGTCCGTTAACCGTTATATTGACGCGAGAGGCCTCGATACTTCTTCACTTCCAACCACCATCTCCTCCTCTCGAACACCCTCGCTCGAGCACTCTCGCCCCCCTCCGAGCTCAGCAGCATCTTCGGCCGCCACTCAACCACTACACAGCTAGCATATCATGTCTGGACGCGGCAAGGGCGGAAAGGTGCGTGCTCTTAGGTGTCTGTCGCTGCGTGCGCAAGCATGCTCATTGTTGTCGTTGTCAACAAGGGTCTCGGCAAGGGCGGTGCCAAGCGTCATCGCAAAATTCTTCGCGACAACATCCAGGGTATCACCAAGCCCGTAAGTAGAGCTTCGGTTCTCCTTTATCTGGATCTCATGTCGTGTGCCGCAGGCTATCCGTCGTCTCGCTCGTCGTGGCGGTGTCAAGCGTATTTCTGGCCTCATCTACGAGGAGACTCGCGGTGTCCTGAAGATCTTCTTGGAGAATGTTATTCGTGATTCTGTCACATACACCGAGCACGCGAAGAGGTACGCAACCTCCACCTTTTCTCCTTCGCCCTTGCTGATAAATCGATGTGCAGGAAAACCGTGACAGCGCTCGACGTTGTCTACGCCCTCAAGCGGTCAGGCCGCACTCTCTACGGCTTTGGCGCGTAAGGTCTCTGATCGGATGCATCTTGTTGAACTATGTATTTCTATACTCGACATCATACTCTGTGATTGTGGTTGCGTATTCTAGCACGCATACTATATGATATCATGTTATACTGTGAGCCTTGAGTGTTATGTGAAGCAGTATAATTATGTTGGCACCGTTGGTGGCCTGTGAGTTCTAAGGCTGTCTTCAATGATCACATGCATAGAGTTGGGTATATGCTGTGCTTGAGAACAGCCTCAATCAGCAAGTATAGTTATCCTGACTACACCAACATTGACATATTGACATGACACATCAGTAGTGCAATGCCATGAGTCCCAAAAGTATCCGCAGGATGTACCATCAACGCCACAAAGGTAGTAACAAGTCCGACTTCCACAACCTCAGTCTATTTACCCTGCCCGTAACAAACCTTCAACCGAAGGTTGCCAGAAAGCAAAGTAAAAGGAAAAAGGAGTGAACAAAAGAATCCCAAGGAGGGATCCCCCGACGACACAAGCCGGTACTGCAGTGGCAAGGTCATCGTGCCCCCGAGTTGCAAGCAGAGCTCGAAGGACAAGGGCGGCAAAAATTTGATAACCAATAATGAGGGCGGTGCCCTCATAATAGTGGTTAAACTATTAAGAACAGATACTACACTTGATCTAAGCCAAAAGGCCAGAGTGGTAAGGATTCGAGATGGGCGGAGAGGTCCTTATATATGTTTACAGGCGCTTATCATGTCGCGCACGGACCACGTCGTGAGCTGTTCGGTTATTTCGCGCGTTTTGGCCATCAGCTCAGCGCCACGAAGCATTCGCCAACGGCTCCCCCTCTCGCTCAGGAGAAAATACGCCCGTGAGATGATCAGATACAATGCAGTTGTTCAGTTGTTGCTAATGCCATGCAGTACATACAAAGAACAAGAATCTACTAAAATGCCAACGGTATACTGGAGGCAACAACAGGACGTACTGTGCGCTGCGCACGTTCGAAAGCTCGAAAGCAGAGCCTGCGAATAGCACGCTAATACTGGTACAGGTTGTGCCTTTGAGGAGGCGTCCGTTCTTCAACAATACTAAACGGACTATCAGCTACATTTGCGCGCCATCGCCAATGTGCCTACCGTCTACATTGTGGTCTTCTCTACATCGATCCTTATCCCGGTAATTGCACTTCCCAGTCGATCGTCGTCGTGGAAAGCACTCTCTAAGTCGCTGTTCTTCGCGGCCTCGAGCTCCTCCAGATTATCTAGCTCCAGCCCACTCGCGCAAGCCATGCCGTCGCCGGGGATGCTTCCCATGGTGCTGAGTAACACCCCCTGTTGTCGCGTGAGAGTCCGAGAATTGGAACTGCGGATACCTCCAAACCCAAAACCAGAGAACGGCGAATCAGGGCTCGACTTCTGTGAAGCTGTAGGACCCGCGGTGAAAGCCATCGTCCCGGTTGACTGGGCGACCGTTTGTGACCCACGCTCGCGGAGATCAAGAATGAGGCGACAGGCAAGTACCGGAGAGAGCATTACGCTCAGCGGGATGCAAATCGCAGAGATCGACTGACGCGGCCTGTAGGACGACAATTAGAATCATACAGCAGAGCAGGGCGAGGCTAATGCTGACTGGAGGTAGAATATGCCATTGATCTGCGGCACTCTTAACATGTAGATCACGCGAGAGCATATAGGGAACTCACGAGGTTCGCAATGGAGATCAAGATGTAATAAAAGACACCTGTTATACGACGTCAAGATCCGGTGCTTAGTACACATATTAGAGACCTCACCCTCGCGCAAGAAGGTTTGAATAAGTCGACTGCTGGCGGCGCCGCTCCGGCGGCGGATCGTAACAGCCTTTATGACTGTCATTGCTGTAACCAGAGTGTCATACAGCAACGGCGCAATCTACTTTAAAATTTAGCGGAGGTAATGTTAAATTGCCTGGCGCCGTACAAAAAATCCTGAATATGAGGACGGTTAGCGGAGCACAAACACAACACAACTTCACGAATTACCTAGTAAGTCGGCTGAGTGCGGCTTAGACATGGGGAGACAAGGACCGGTTGTCTACAAGCTGTTAGCTTACGAATATTGCCGGTCATATCGATCTACTCACGTAAGGAGGAGTCATGAAGGGCAGCACTAAGATGAATAATGAGTAGGATCCTCGAACGAAGGAGAAAGAACGAGCTAACAGAGCATCTGAGAGGTATCCACGTAGAGCTGGTACGCTACCACACCCGCAAGAGCTAAGACCAGGAGTGCGAGGATGTAGTTATTTCGGTTGAAGAAGGCGTACGTCCTGATGAGCAGGATGACCTCGGCGGCAATCTGGTTCCACATGGCCAGTGCGACAGGTATCTGTCACGTTCGTCAGCCCAGAGTTCCAACGACTCATCGATCGACATACCCTGAAGACCCGTTCACACTCCTCCAGAGTGTGGTTTGTGCAAAACGCCCACAGGAGGTATGGGGCGACAGCCATGACCCAATAACTAGAATCCGTGCCGTTAGTGTCGGCGACCCATCGGCGTTTAATTTCGGCAACTAACCGACAGAACAGGTATGCGACCTTGACCGGTGTCCACCGAGTCTTCCAGATCTATGCATGTGTTCGGAAAAATCGGAGAAGACATATGCGACTGGTGCGACATACAAAGCGCCATTCTCTTGGCAGACCCAAGGCCCACTCCCATACCGTGACGGCGTCTGAGTGAAGTGAGCGTGGAGCCACAGAAGGAGACTCATGAAGAACTTACACATGGCTATGTGTCGACGGGGATAGTGAGAATAGCTGCGATAAAAAAAGAGAGACACGGACCGCAAAAATGAATTTGTGTTCTGCGGCGAAGGCCGACCAGTGAGCGCGTGCGATAACTCGAGCGAAAGACAAGAACATACACGAAGATAAAATGCTGGGCTTCCGCTTGGCTGTCTGTCATTTTGAAATGCGGCCGATGTCTGAACGGGAAAGAGATGTGTTGGTTGGGTGTTTTCAAACGAGTATCAAAAGAGAGTCAAGAGGATGTAGGGTGCAGGGCGGTCGTCGCCGACGAGCGAGCAGGAGGCGGGTGGTGGTTGAGGTGAAACGAACGACGACGGCCTGTCGTTCCGCAGAGGAGCAGGATAAGAACCACGGGGTGCCCCGTAGCTTCGAGCTCCCTTTCGGGAGAGCACGATATAAAGGCAGCCACGAACGCAGGCAGAAATACCAGGAATGCGAGCCGCCCCAGACGGGCGACAGACATCAGAATGCACATCCCGATTTGGGATGCTTTGGGCCGAAATGGGAAAGAGAATACCTCGTGTGGCCAGCGGCACATGCGGCGGAACGGTTCTTATTCCCCGCAAAACCAGCACACGTCCACCTCGCGCGGTGCTCCGCCGCCAGTTGCCCCTCCCTGGCAGCGCGCTCACCCTGGGAGGAGTACCTCGCAGCCTCGTTGTCGTCGGCAAGGGGACATGCGCGCGGGCAGAGGCCTGGAGGCCAAGTGAGACAGCAGACAATGTGGCAAAACACCTACACAGAAAGTTGCGTCGCTTGCCACCGGAAGCAAGATCGTCGATGTGCTCGTCGAAGGCACACTGTGCGAGAGGAGCGGCATCCAAACCCACGGCTAGTCGGCAAATTTCGTCTCCTCGGTCTCCGATCGAACGCAGCTCCGAACGGAAACCACCGGCCCACTCATGTTCGCTTCCGGTCATTTCTTGGATGGAGCTAGGCGGCGATCGTAAATTTTATGTATTCATCATGCTATTAGCCCAGTCTGCAATCATACGATAAGAGTCTAGATAGTATCAGTCTTTGCGCACATTCAAAGCATTTTCTTTCCGTTCCATGTTCGCCCTGTGCTTCAGCAGGCAATAATCTCCGTATTCGTTCATCTCCTGCCACCGTGAACCGGGCATCCAGAGTGCACGAGTAAGCAGCGGCGAGTGGCGAGTGTCCAGGAACTTTTGGCAATATGCGCGCTCCCAGGTGTCGTTGTCGATAGCGTACCGAGGCTCAAGGGAGGTAGAAACCGGATGGAGGGGGAAATCGAGGTCCATGAGATAGTCGCACGTAGACACGTCAACCTGAAACAATAGTTAATTCAGTTTCCACTAGAAGAGAACAGCGCGCGCTTACGTAGAACGACGGCTCCTCCTTATTCAGGTCGTTGAGCCCAACGGGGACGTTGTGCGTGCCCTCGAGCCTCGCCATCAACCCGCCCCAGCGCGGCGTCGGCTTGAAGTGCCCGGGAAGCATCCCATCGAATTCGCTCTTGATCCACTCGACGCGAACGCCGTCAGGTACGTAGTAGTGTCCCGGGAAACGGTGCCATTCCTTGCCCACGCACAATGTCAGGTTGAATGGGTAGATGAGATCGTAGTCTACTCGAGGCTCGTCTTCCTCCTTCTCGGGAATACGATATCGGCCGTCTTTTGGTGGGGGCGGCAAATGGACGTAGCCAGTCCGGTTCAGGATGCTCGGGATCTCGTATTGATCGAAGTGGTACATAACCGTCTGAGGCGCATGGTAGTACGACCACTGGGCGAGCAGGCGCGAGACGGAGATGACCATAGATGCCGTGACAACTGACAGCGTAAACCTACTAAAGATTACAGCGATGGACGCCTAGAGAGAAAGTCAGTAAAAGGTCCGAGGCCCAAGCGTGAGCATAGAGATAAACTGACCCTATAAGGCGACTTCGTAATCTTGACGTACGCAACCTCCATCCAGCCGCGGGCGAGATATATCGTGACAGCCGCATTGAAGTAGATCAAGGGGTAGACCGGATACAGGAAGCGTTCCTCCTTGTGAGGCTGGGCGGACATGATCGCGAACCAGAGGTACATCGGGGCAAGTCTGACGGCCATCTCGGTGTAGTGTGAGCTGCTCTCCGGCCCAGCGCGGTCGCCTAGACGCTTGTACTCGATACGGTGGGTGATGGCAAGCGCAGGAAGCGAGGCGAGTGCGAAAGGAACGACAACGTTCAGGTTGAGCAGCAAGTTGTGGAAATAGTAATACACGGACTCCGTCCCATAGAGGTCGGGACCACGCTCGCCTTCAGGAAAAACATTGTATTTGATAATGTTCCACGGGACAGCTGTAAGCTCGCCGTAGAAGAGCGTGTCCAGGGCAACAACTGGAATCTGGTAAAGCAGAAGATAAGTAAATGTGATTATTCACGTTGAATGGTACCCACGAAGAGTAGAGCGGCTACAGCAACGCAGGCAATCATGCGTTTCCACCGAGTAATCCTCCAGAAAAGGCGTTCCCTTGGTGCGACCTGGTCCGTACCGTACAAGTACAATTCCTCGAAGACGAACGGGATGGCAATTGCAGCCGCAAAAGGCCAGCCGACGATAGCACCTGCTGCGAACGACAGGGTAGCAAGCATGGTGCGGCGGAAATTGCTTTTGTTAGCATGGTCGAGGAAAAAGCCGAAGCCGACAGCAGTGGTGTACATAGCAAATGACGAGGGCAAGAAAGCTGAAGAGGCGTTAGCACACGCGATAAAACATGCCTAACAGCTACTTACAGACTGAAGCGTTCCACATTCCAGCAGAGAGGATTGTAGTGAAGAGGAAGTAGCGAGCGACTCTGTAATTGACATAGTCGGCAATTCTCCTGTATAAGAAGGCCTCGCAGAGGGAGGATAGTAAAGCCAGTATAAGGCGAACTGCAAAAAAGGCGGGACGCTACGCAATATTGTGAGCACGCGCGTCGATATGCAAGGTATGATTGCCCTCACTTTCTCTGGGCCGTACATATACAGAGGGATTCTGGTCGGAAGATAGTGCAGCAAAATGTATGCCCAACTACGAATAGAATACATAGGAGATGTCTCCCAGGTCTGGAATCCATGTCCACGGCTCAAGTAGTGTAAAGGTTCCCAGAAATTGAAGACTAGAGTTAATGCTTAGTAAACGGTGAAGAGAGCCTTTAGATCATTGATTACCTTCATCACAGTCGTTGAGATTCACATACATCGCTCCCATAACTCGGACGAGTAAGAATACCCTGAACACTACAGACATGCTGGGAGTCCACGGAGCCTTCTGAGCCCTGGATGCAACGCTCGTTACATTGCGACACCAAAAATGCGCATCCTCTTACCTGCGCAGTTGATCCTGCAATAGTCCTGAGTGCCTGTTCTTCATTTTCTTGACTTCGGGCGCACTGCTGCCCTCTGTTTGCTGTCGGTTCACCGGCCGTCTGAAGCGTATGGTCTGCGCGCCGGGCACGCCCACGAGATTCGTTGCCATGGTTCACCGCAACCGTCTGTGTACGGCTGTAACCTAGAAACACAGAATGTGTGTTGAAGTTCAGACCAAAGGGAGACAGGGGGAAAAGGCGGAGAGTCGTGAGCTGGACACGTCCTCGAAAGTACCGCCGGGTGCTTTGGGCGCTTGATGACGCGCGTATACGCGCCTGTCACGAGCTGTCACGCGTCACCGCATTCACCTCTGTTCACCTCGCGTCGATTTACCGGAGCATTTCGCCGTCTTTCCCCCAGTAGTGTCTCTGACTGAACGCTGACAGCGCTGAGCCTTGAACATGCCTGCAGATGTAGACATCTCTCATATGGCCTCAAGGAAGCCACAGAATTGGGATGTCCTCAAGGCACTGGAATCCGTTTCGCCTCCAAGTCCGTCCCCTTCGTTCGGCAGCGACTTTCTCGCGACGTTGGCGAGTTCGGGAGAGATCCCAATCTTCCTCGACTCTGGGGACTCAGAAAGTACTTCTGATGCACCCGGCCTCAGTCAACAGAGGTTATCCACCCCAAGCGTCAGTACCGATACGATGGGTACCTTCGGGCTGCGTCGTCAACTTTTAACTGGTGCCCACGAGGTCGAGGACTCCCACTGCGTGCAAGGGAGTCGCGTCTCTTCTCGCTTTGGTTCGAGCCATATAACGCCCACAAACAGTTCTCAATACCTATCACCTCAGGCAGAACATGGATACTATGATCACCGTTTGAGCTCGGGTACAAGTCGCTTCACGCTTTCCGCCTACTTGTCGCCAAGAAAGAAGAAAACCTCAGAGACTTGCTCTCTGCCTAGCTCGCCTCGCTCCCCGGGCAGTTCTACCTGGACTACACCTTTCTCCTCCTCGGATACTCTAAGCCTGCCGGACACTTATCGCCGCTCCCCCTCCATAGGTGCATCGTTGTCCACCATAGTATTTGCCGCAGGGTCTGCCGCGTCACCCACCCTGTCGGCCAGTATCGTTACCGAAGCGCAGCTGTACGCGTCCAGGCACCGACAGCACGCTGGTTCTTCGGCTTCCACGTACGCGAACCAAGCGGACTTTCCGGCTAGTTCTGCCAGGTCCCCCGAACTAGGACACTCACGCACGTCGATCTTCCTCCCGGTAATCAGTCGGCCCAATAGTCCCTTGTCTGGTCCTGTTCTCACTCGCGACGGCCCTCGGATCCGTACATGCTCGACGGGCTCTGCTGACTCTGGACGTTCTGGACGTTCTGCGTGTTCCGCAAGGAGTAATCTGTCTTCTCGGTCGACACGCTCAGTTCTGATTGGCCCGCCTGTGAACTCTTCTAGCGAGCCTGATGCTACAGTGCCCGGGCTCCCTCCTGTGTTGTCCTGGCTACAGAATGTCCGCCCCGAATTATGGATTGACCAAGAGGGATTCCGCCTTGTTAGACCAGTCTTCAAGCTTTCTGGCTATGCGACTCCTTCCCACACTGACGGCGGCGACTCGGACTTGGTCAATTCACTGACCAATGGATCTGCTGAGTTCCGTCTTGCCGAAACCCAATCATTCGTTTTCCACCATGGTACCTTGGACCCACCACCCGTCCTCAGGAAACTTACTCTCGCTGATGACGAGAGTCGTGACTATATCTCGCGACAAGCCTCGCTCGCAGTCAAGGCGGATGGTGTTTACTCCGTCTCAGGTATCGAGAGCTTCGAGTCCAACACCTCAAATACACTCTATCAGACAAACCTAGCTTCTCATCACCGACCGCTGAAGCTGACCTGGCGTTTTGAATATCGTGTCGAAGACGCCACTGCCAAGATGCGCGCCGGTGAGAAGATCCTGATTCCCCTCTCGTTCTCCTGTTCTCCGGGCCTTCTGCATCCTACACATGGCAAGAAAATCAAGATTATACAAGTCGTCAAGAAGGGTCTCGCACCTAAGCTGGCCTCGGAGAAGCTCGACATGCCACCGGCTGACGTTCGCGTCCGCGTACAAACGGAGCCCCCCAGCGAAATACCGCACATTCGCCATGCCCTGCACGACGAAGACCGTTTCGGCATTGTGCATGCTGGTCTCGATCTGGCCTCGAGACACCGCAGGGTTCAGTCGACGTCCGCTCAGCCTCTCGTCCTGAAGGCGAAGGAGGACGGCGCCGAGGGCAACAGGAGCGGATCCAAGAAGACCAAATCCGCGTCGCTTGTAGTCGACTGGTCTAGTTCGCGTACCGAAGCGCATCTCGAACGGCAGTTTGTAGTCGGCGATCCTCTTATGTCGTTCCTCGCTGCGAATAGCTGCAATGATACCGGTAGAACGGACGCTCATCAAATTTCGCGCCACATTTTGCCTCCGACGCAGCTGTCAGACATGCTGGACAAGCGGCCGAACCTGTACGAAGCCTCGCACGGATCCGATCGCGTTCAGTCACTGAGACCACCACCTCGCAACATCGAGCACGCATAACATCGGCTGCGGGTTGTAAGCGTCTCGTCTATGTTGAACTCCAAGTGATATCCACTCGATACGCTTTTTCTTGGTGATTTATCACAAACATTCAAACATTCACGAATCACGATCCACATCAGGCGACCCACTTCCCTGGGTCTCAGCACCGATTTAGCGTTTTGATAGTGTTTGCGATATTTGTACAGTTGTGTACTTTCGGATTCATCCAATTATACCGTCGGATACGATAGCTACAGAGCAAAGCGACACAGCTCAGGATACGCGGATACGCAATAAGTAACAGCAGCAAATTATCCCATTCATGAAAAGAGATTACGCTATGGTAGGTAGTCTGGCGGACTCGATAAGGTCCTCTCAATCTGAGGGGATGGGGAAACATGCACACGGTGAGTGCGAGATACACGGCCGGACGAAGACCCTGTATCGATTCTTGAATCTTCCGCTTCCTCTGGCGGTAGCGGTGGCGCAGAAGGACCGAGACCAAGCTGCAGCTCGTCTTCTTCATCGATAAGAGGCGGCGCACATGGTACAGCATTCATGTCGATGCTGCTGTCATGGTCCGGGGCGCTAGGCCCAAACGGAGGCGCTGGAGAGCGAAAATCGTCGCCGTTGAGAGCATCGTTTTCGAATAGGGAAGGGTATTCGTAGAACCCTGAGGTAACAAATTGTGCCTTTGAAGGCGGGGCAGGGAACAGCGGCGGTTGGGGCGACGGCTCGCGTGAGTAAGTCGGGACGGGTGAGACGGCGAGTGAAGGCCGGAGGGAAGACGATGACGGACTTAGATTGTTGCTCCAGACAACTGCTGGACCTTTCCCGTCATTACTTTCCATTGTCCCCAACTCCGCGACGGACTCCGCTTCCAGTTCGTCAATGACTGGTACGGATGGACCGGGCCCAAATGCTATGCAATGGGAAGGATCTTCTGCGGAACGATCGTCGGTAGGCGGCGAGCTGACGAAAGCGGCCATGCGCGCCAAAAGATTCTTGTCGTCGGTGGCTATATGCGCGGTCGAGACACGATTGTCGCTCGAGAATGTGGCCGACATGTGCAATGGTAAAGTGCCTCCCGCAGAAATCAAGCGCTCGGTAGAGTTGACCGCCTGACTTGAGGCACCGTTAGGATAGTCTGGAGGTAGGATCGGCTCTTCTTCGTGTGAAATGTCGTCGGGAAGAGGTCGTCGCTCCCCTGAGCACGGAGTTTCTGCGTCAGGACGCTGCAAGTCAAGTGAGGGCGCGGCGGAATATGAGGTGGATACCACCTCAACAGCGCTGGATGACGAGGGGTCGTCCCCGTGCAGCGTCACTGCGGATCGAGCGTCATCTGTAAAACTCGCCCTCCGGGACGCGGTAGGGTAGGTACTACCACCTGTGGACGATGATGTACTCGCTCGCTTCCGTCGACGCCTGGCCGCAAGCTTTATATTTGGCCTGAACCGAGCCGTTGCTTTGACCCATAGCCTACGCTGCTGCGCGCGCGCACGCTGTTTCTCGTCAATTTCCATGTCAGAATCGTCGTCCACTAAGCGCTGCTTGTACGGTTTTTTCTCTAGGTCTTTCGACATGCCACGTCGTTTGCGGCGCCAGGCCACGCAACCGAAGATAAGTGCGCAGATGAAAAGAGCGAGAAAGACGGCGAGGATGGGGATATATTGGGAGATAGCCTCTTTCTTTAGCGTACGATTCCAGCCTGGGGGTAGGTCGGCTGTCATGTCGGTTGGTGTAGGACTCGCGGATGAAGCCGATGGTAGTTGCGTGGGACCCGCCTGGTCGTCTTCTTCTTGTATCGGCCCTGTAATCTGTGGAACACCGCTGCTACTTGTGGAGCACTGCACAGCAGTCAATACTGCTGGCACGGCATTGAGACTAGATGCTACTCACGTCGCAGTACGTTGAACCATATAATGTCCAACTGTCTACTTTCCGCCAGCGGCCGTCCGTACCCTGCGTGTACTTGTCAGGGATATCCGGTACGGCCGAGCCCACTCTCCTGACGCGAGTGGGTGTTACTGAGTACCCGTAGAAATCCTCGGCTTGTTCTTCTTCAGTAAGCTCTGCAAGTGTCTGCCGGGACGAAGAGGGGCGATCAAGCGCAAGGCGTGGGCTCAAGAATGGGCAGAGAAACTCTGGAGGACGCGGATCGGATGAGAGAGGCCGACCGTCAGCAGTGGATGAGGAGGCAGCTACGGTGGCTAGTAGCGCGATCAGGTTCGAAGAGGGCCGCGGTGGCAATTTAATACGAGCTCGTCGCCTTGTCGTAGATGATGCACTTTGATTTGCATGCGAGGATGAGCTCGTGGCGGTGGAGACTAAGTCGAAGGGAAACCTTGGCTTGGCCATATCACCGCACAGCTCGGACGTGCCGCGGCAAGGCAGCCCGTGTGTGCCAAGCAAGTCTTGTGTGGGACCCCGGATGCACTCGACACGTTGGACACTGAGATGAACAACGACGGAAGCTTTCCGGCCGTCGCCTTGAACGAGGAGGACGAGGGATGGTTCGACGGTGAACGGCTAGCTCACAGGCAGTGAGAGGGGAACGGAGGTCGCTCTTTCGACTTTGACGGTATAACAGCGTGCGATATATTCTCCTTGACGCCCAACGGATGCTCTCGTATCTCGAGAACTAATTATAGAGTCATTGCCAGAAATAGGTTGCGTAACTGTTAAGTTGTCGGAGCCCCAACGAAAAAAAAGCTTAAATTATGCTACAATACTGAAACCTAGACAAATTCTCCTATTTTAACCATCTGCTCCGCCGCCGCTCTTCGCTACGTGCAAGCGCCCGCGCCGCCAATGTTGCCTCCTCACTCGGGCTTCGTCTCTGGAACAGAGAGTCTTCCTTGCCGGCCTCATAGAAGAGCCTGTACGAGCCTAAACTCACACGGATGCACAGCCCCGCTTCATTCGTATACTGTCTGTTCTCGACGTCTGTATCGATCAGATTCCTAAAAATACAATGACTGTCAGCACGATCCAATTGGTCGCTCAGGATGACGGGAAATTGCTAGTGTGCCCGCAGCGTGTTGGCCAACCGTGTGCCTCGCGTGTGCGCTGTAAGGCTGCCCTTCACCGGACCACGCTGTGGGGACACCTGCGCGAGCCGCCAATCCCAAGCACTCGAAGTAGTCTCCAACACACCGTTTCAGATATACTGGACCACGTCGGGGCCCTTTCCCTAAAGACCGCCGAGGAAGCCACTCCGTCGGATGTCGGAGAACGTACGATGTTAGATATTCGCGCCAGCGCCCTTCAGTGGAGTCATCCTCGTTCGCGCTGGGGTCGTCCTTACTCAGAAGCTGGATGCGCAGCTTCCGAGACTCGCGATCCTAGGAGAAGACGCCAGCCCTAAATAACAGACATATTGCTGTGAGAATGGCTGCTGACTTACGCAGTCGACTCGATACAGATGATCGTCCGACCCGACATGGTGTTCGGCCTCGCGCCTGTACCTGATGATGTCGTAGAGCGTTACATTCTCCTTTGCGCGACTGCTCTCGAGCAGATCCCATAGCTCCTGGCATTTGTTGTCAACCAGGATCGTTTGCACCTATGAAGAAACGATCAGTGCGAAACCGTTAGCTATTCTTATCAATGGACTCTCACCTGTTTGATAACCGCCGTTACAACCTTGTCCAGCGTGAAGACATGGTACGCCTATGGAAAAGGTCGCACACGCTCAGTTCAGACATTATAGAGTCATTACGAGGGCCAACCTTCGTCCGGAAGAACCACCGCATGTGTTCCTCAAATGTTGCCTGGTCCAATTCATTGGCGAAGACTTTCTCGCACGCGTCCAGGAAGTAGAGGTACAACACATTGGGCTCTTCGCTACCGCCGTCGGCAGTGGTGCCCACAGCTTCGATGGCCTGTGCAAGAATGACAGATGGACCGTTGGGCTCGTCCAATCCCAGCTCGACAGCCACAGGGTTGGCCAATAGCGAGGCGTGCTTTTCTCGGGTACTCTCTGCGCCAATCCCCTTGCATATTAGTAGGCGAGAGTACATGAGCTAGAAGACGACGATGCATTATCAATTTCCCGTGTCGTGGACGAGCTAGCCGAAGTCATACCTGAATCAGCCGCAGGAGGGTGTAGAAAGTTGTGCTCGTGAAGAACGGGCGCTTTTGGACGGGCGCGTCGCCAGCCTCGCCGCCTTGCGCAGAGCCAGGTATTTCGCGAATCCACATATCCTCGGCTTTAGAGTGGATATTTGAGTCTTGCACGGCTTCCTCAAGAAATTTAGCACCCTTGGGCGTCCTCGGGCTGCCCGCCGTGACCGGCGATACAGAACCAGAGTGAGACTGCTTTACGGCACGGCTGGACGTGCCCTCCTGCACCGTCTTCAGAAGTCTCTTCCGTAAGTCGCCAGCTGGCACGCCAGACGACTGCGCGCCTGGTACCGAACGCCGACCATTCATTTCCGAGACCTCTGCAGGTACTTCTAGGTCATTGCTGGTACCGCTCTCAGGAGGCCGCGCGAGAATCACGGGAGCATCGAATTCCAGGGAAGAAGACGAAAATAGGGTGGGAAGGAAGGACTTGAGGAAATTTTCAATGCCTCGCCGCTCCGAAGGGCCATATTGCGATGTCGAGTGATCCAAGAAAGAGTAGATCATCTTGAGTGTGTCTTGGAGAACTTCACGATCTTGAAATTCATATTCAAGTTGGTACCCTAGAAGGCGAAAGTCCTTCCGTTCCTCCCGCTCTTTGACCTGGGCAGCTTTCATAAACTCGATGTCCTGTACGAAATACTTGGCAGTGATATTCTTCTTGTCGTTGGCTTTGAAGGTGATGCCCTGATGATCCAGTGCCTTGTAGAAGTTCTTTGCATCGACCTCCCGCCATGTCCGGTTCCACTCTCGCTGTTGACGGCGCCACTCTTCATTCTTCTGTTTCAGCCTCGATAGCACAATGGGAACAGCGGTTACGGGATTTTCCTGTAGGCCGACGTAAATCTCTGGCCAGTGGTCACGTCCGTACACCTTCTTCAGAGTCTTCTGGTAAATCGCAGGAGACCAGCCACCGAGGTCGGAACCCAGCCTGAACTGCGAGCGCTCCTCGGGCTTCATCTCATTTATCCGGGTGTTGATGGGGTCGAGAACAGCAATGATGCGAGTAATGGAGTCGATATGAGTCTGGTACTCGTGCCGCTCTTCCTCACTGCGGTGCAATGTCTCTTCGAAGGAATTCTTCTTATGCGTGAGGAAGCCCGATTCTTCAGACGCCCACGTCGGATGAGAGACCCACTCGTCGTTCAGCACCGCCCAAGCGAGCTGGTCGCGACCAGAACAAGCGAGTTTAGTTTCCTGCACAATGTAGACGTGAATACCTCCGTAGTTCAGACCCATATGCAAACGAACACATACATGAGGGGGCAGGCGACGATAGCTGGGTCCTTCATCGTCGTCTGGACAAGTAGGAGCCTGCGGGTCTGGGGCACTGGTGCGTATACTCCCTGGAGGCCCGTACTCGACGTTCCCCTTCTTGTCATCCCAGCCAAGTAGCTCCTTGAACTGTTGCCAGAGGTCACCATCCGCAAGCAAAGGTCCGGACAGCTGGATGAGCGCATGGGTGTCAATGACCTCCTTTGCGAAGGCCTGAATAAGCTTAAGGAAATCCTCATACGTGCCCGCGCTCTCCAGAGTCTTCTTGGTTTTGTCGAAAAATAAGAGCTCGTCCTGCTGGGACATCTGGGATACGCCGTTCATTCCTGAACCGGCCTGAGATGGGACAGCTGCTGGCGGCGCAAGGTGCTGCTGCACTTGAGGTGCCTCATTCGTGTGGCGCTGTGACGGATGTAAGGGCTCAGGCGTCGGAAGGCGTTGCTGAAATGGAGGGATCCTCGGTGATGCGGCATCCGCCTGTTTATTATTGAGCTTCGTCCGCTTAACAGCCTGTAGCAGTAGTGAGCTTTTTCGCCACCGTAATAACCCGAGATCGACTGTACCCTGCTCCCGCCTGCCTTCGACTGCGTTGTATCCTTGTCCACGGCGCGCTTGCGCCGCCTGTTCGGTGCTTTCGTCGCTTTCTCCATACCCGTGAGCGGCGCGTCAGGCAGATCCCATGTGGGAGGTGACGTCGGTGCGGCGGGGTGCGGCATAATCCCGACTAAGCCGGATTGCGGCTGTATTGAATGTCCGAGAGCCTCTGGCAAGAAGTCTTTAAATTCCTCCATCAAATCCGGTGCGTCCCGGAAGAGCCTTGCGACTTGCGCGTACACTTGCGACTAGAGAAATAAGTTAGAGGGATACGTAAATTCGTACAAGAGTCTCACATCGTGTAGCTGCTTTTGCTCTTTCTGATATGTCTGCAAGATCTCCAGGAACTGTTTGTAGATATCAGGCTCGTCGGAGTAGCGAATTTTAATCTTGTTTAGGAATTGAATCGCGTGGTTAAATTCGCCGACAGAAGATTTCTCAACCGTACGGCCATTACCAAGTCCTCCCAGAAAGGACGCGGCAGCAGAATGAGCTCCTTGCATGGCGGGAGAGTAGGGTCGCGACGCGTCCATGAAAGCAGACTGCGCGTGTGGAAGAATGCCGTGGTTCAGTGGGGTCGTTGGCCGCGACCCAGGACCAAGTCCGACGGGAAGGATTGGTGGTGGCGCATGCCCAGCGAACGGGGGATGCAGTGGAAAGTGTGGCGGCATTGCGTTCGGTAAGTGCTGGGGTTCGCGAGGAGGGTGCCTCATTGGCTGGTGGAATGGGTCCATGATGCCAGTAGGAGTTGTGACGGTGATGCCGTTGAGGTTTCTGGGATCAGATGATAACTCTATCCTGTATCCCGGTGGCAAGAAAGTGTTGAATCCTTGTATTAGTGTCGGGTTCCCCTGGAATAGCGTAGAAACACGGTGAATGACACCTGGGGTGTCAATCCTGCATTGGGAAGTAAGTACACAGAGATATCTTGGGCTTGAAAATGCATTCGCGAAGAAGGGAGCGTTGTCGTTCGTATGGACCAAGTCCACTTCACTCCATCCCAATACAGACCCACCCCGCCAGCGGCCCAACCACAGATGGAGTCGAAGCGAAAAGAGCACTCACGCTTGACTCTTGAAGTCCTTCATGATATCCAAGAAGTGGTTGTACACATCCGGCTTGTCCTGAAACTGCACCTTCACGGCGTCCAGATATCCCAGCGCGTCAGATACGTTCAAGGGCCTCGCCATGCCAGCATCGGGCGACCTAGGAACTGCAGGACCCACAAGCTGCGTGCTCTCTGCCATGAGATTTGCAACAGCTTGTGGCGTAAGTGATTGAGGGGTCTTGATCTTTGGGGGAGCTCTGGGGGTCAGAGGGCGGGACCCTGGCGGGTTGCTGTTGTTCATCTCCCTATCCTTGAAGAGATCGAGAGGCACCAGGTCTGGCTGAAGGAGCGCCGACACGCTTGTAAGGCGGTGCAGCGGGTTTGGAGACGTTCGCGGAGAGGAAGGGCGTTTTAAACTTGTAGATGCACCGGAGCTGGGGGAAGCATTTACGTCGTTTGCCTGCGCCAGCTTCGCACTGGGACCGAGTGGATTGCCGCTAGAGGCTTGCAGGGTCGCCTCAGCTTTCGACTGGACACTGGGTGGTCGTTGGACCTCGAGGTTTGTTATGTCCATGGTCGAGTGGGTGCCCGAAGCAGCCAGACAAGCTGCACATGAGAGCAGGAAGCTCGAGCAGCCACTAGCAGGGCCGGTACTCCATCTAATCTCCCACACTGTCTCACGATCATCTTATCTTGCAATTGCCTAAAGAGAAAATGCAATGATGGTCTTGTGCCTTCTCTGGAGGTTGTGGTCGCCGCCAGGTGCATTGTGAATGTTCTAATAATTTAGATTGTGAAAAGAACGTCAGATGTACATTGTGCTACGCGAAATAAATAATACTAGACGAATATATTACTCTAAATAATTTAACCATAATTCACGCCGTCTTCCGCTTTACAGGTCTTGCTCGAGGTGTAGGTAGCTCGTCGACAGCGTGGTCGCTGAGCGGCTGGCTGCTAGTTGAGTCCTGAGAGTCGACTCGACGATGACGAAATGGGAAATGCCATGTTTTCCGTGCTACTAATTTCGCGCCCGGCGACGCGGACGGGGACAAACTTTGTAGGTCTTCTGTACCCGACATCGACTCCAGAGGAGTAAGGGCCGGGGGCGTACGCTTATTCCTGCGTCTGGAATGTCCATGAGACGACGTAGTTCCCACTTCAAAACTTGAAAACGCACCTCCTGCTCCTGCCCAACGCCCTCCGAAGCTTCAGCTCGGGAGACGAGGCATGATCAGATAAGTCACTTGGTGTCTGGGAGCCGCTGGCCATAGCCGTAACTTCTGAAGTCCAAGACGTTCGGCGCTCCGTTTCCTCCGATGCATCTGACCGAAACGAAATATGCCACGATCGGCTTGAAGACCTGGCCAGGCGCGACTTCTCGGATGGCTGTGGCAGGCTGCTACCAGATGCTACTTGTGAATCCGAAGCTACAGACGTGCTTTCTACCGACTCGTACGTCTCGGGAGACATCTGGCGGGGATAAGCTTCCGAGCTGAGGACGCGCTCCGCACGGACACGAGAAGAGTATCCTGCAGCGTCGGGAGACAATGGGGATGGGAAGAAATATGGGGCTTGGTATGGGTCAGTTCGCGAGACCACCTTTGGAACCGAGTCCTGAGACCGTGCTTTTTTCAGACAAGATTTGACTAAGGTGGAATATTTATCAGTCGCTGGGAACAGTGAAAGCGTCTTGTTCGACTTACCTGAGGCTGAGTGATCAGACCGTGCTGGAGACGCACCTCGGGAGGTGAGCAACTCGTCGGATAAGCTGACACGGCTCGACGATAGCGGCTTCAAGCTGCGTGACGTCGAGAGATGCCTACGCAGGAAGCCTAACCCTCGGCCTCGTGCGGCCGCGTCCCCGAATTCGTGCCGTTCGAGCGCAGGAGGGGACGCCTCACGGGCGACAGGGCGCTCGGAGACCGCAGTCTCGGGAGCGCTGCGGATTTCTGATATTATCGCGCCGTTCTCTTCGGCCCCTGGAGTGGAGGGCGTGATAGATAAGGTTCCATTGTTGTTATTTGCGAGCATAAATTGGACGCGAAGTGACACGTTGTGATCGCTAGTCGTACGGCGTGGAGGCAGGGAGGATAATTCCGTGGGTATGCGTGCTTGGACACGTCCGCTAGAAACACGCCTAGTCGGCGGGCGCGGGGAGAACTCATGTGGTGGAGAGGATGGGAGTCTCGGAAGCGTTGGAGGCATTTGTGAGACCTTAGGAATCAGCTCTCCGACGACGGAAAGCACGCTCTGTGGCATAAGGTGAGCAGCGGCGGGAAAGGCGATGGAGCGGAAACATACTGCAAGGAGCCAGCCGGTCGCAAGCAGTGCATTGGCTATTATAATGACTGCATATTGGAGGCACAATGGTGGGATGCATGCACCAGCCTCGTATATCATCGTCCAGATCATTAAGGTTGGATTGAAGACAAGAAACAGGAGTAGTAGCTTGAGCGGGCAGAAAAGAGACGGTGCTCGGCCGCAGTGCACACTGAGCCGCCCGAAGATGGTGTCCATGAATCAATGCCAAGACGAGAGATGCTCTTGACGATAAAGCATGGCAGTCTTCTTGCAGACGAGAGGGCAGAGACGAAACAAGCGGATGAGCAAGTGCGGGCCTTTTGGGCTTTCCCCACCATCTCGGCAGGGGTTCGGTCGCGTCAGCGGATATGACAGGTCGAGTGTCAGCGCTCTCCGCGCGGCCTCCTAAATGGCGTCGGTCATCGTCCCAGGGGAGTGGCCATCCCTCGGCATCGCTTATGCGGGGTTTGACTGTCGGCGCATCACGATTCACCGGCACCGGTTACCTACGGCGCCTTTGGTCAGCTGTGACAAAGAGCGAGAAAAACAATTACAGGGGCAATGTACAATTTCTCGCACCGTCTCCCGTGGCCGTAACGAGTCATTTGGCAAGCGCAGCCCGCCGGAGTTAGCGCGAACAGGAACTGAAGCGAACGTCACACAGCCCGAACTAGTACAGAGATGCGTAAGACAGAGGTCGAAACGTCGGAACGACCGCCCAAACCACAGGGGCACACCACACGTTCCGGTTTCGTCGCATTGCCTCGGCCCGTGGATCACAGAAGAGCGGCTCTTCGTCGTATGCAACGATAGCCTACACGATGGAGACGCAACCGCGCTCGCTGAGTTCGATGCCTCGAGCAACCATGGTTAGCCGCCCATAGCGCAGCAGGAAAGCGTGTGAGCGCCGGATTTGTTCTCCAACGTGTTTTCAACCGCCGACATCGTCCCATACTTCCTCCTTGACGTCTCACTCGTCCTTCTCACCTTTCTCTTTCTGTCCTAACGCCGTTTGCATCATCTATTGACACACCAGATCATCGTCTCCCATCATTGTCTACTGAAACCTGTACTCATCCTAGTTTCCCATCATGCCACCTCGTGGAAGTGAAGGTCTTGACTTCACGCCAATCCTTACTCACTATTTGTTCCTCTTTACGACAATTCTTGCGTTGGTGGGTCGTACCTGTCGAGGAATAACGAGTGCAATCTCAATATTTTGATCTTTAGGTGGGCTGGTTCCTCGCCTTCATCGCTCAGGCAATAGCTACTGCGCAATGTACGTCCCTCTTCCAACCACCCCCGCCCTTTGCCTAACTCGCGCCTTTAGTCGGACACAGCGTAGTAGGGACACTATGGTTTGCCATCTTCCTGGAGCTCTTCCTCATTCTGGGTGTGCTTCATACGTTGGCTACCGACTCTATAGCAATGCACCGTTTCCAGATCTCTGTATTCGGCGCGGTCGCTATCGTCTTCTCCGTCATCGGTGTCAACCAGAGCATCTTCTCCAACGCGGCGTCTCTCGACGCTATTGCTGCTGGCTGGTTCATCCTCTCCGTCGTTAACATCCTCTGGACGCTCTACTTCACCTCAGAGGAAGACTCTCTTATGCTCTACCTCTTCAACTCTATGGGTACTGGAGGACTTACCCCGCCGGGTCGCCGTCGTCGTCGCACTCAGTCGTTGCACAACATGGGTGGGAACGGCTACAGCGCAGGTTATGCCGCTCCAGGCGCAATGGGACCTGTGGGATACGACGCCAAGCCGCACAGCTTTGTTGGACAAATGGGAAGCGGTGCAAGCCTCAAGGCCAACAGTGTCGAAGCGCGAAGTATTACTGGCGCCAGTGTCAACCAGAACACTGGTTCCGTTCGCGATCCTGTGTCGGCCGTTGGTTCAGGTGATAATGCGGCGGCTGGGCTTGCTTCGCCCGCTATGAGCAGCGGTGCGGCTGGTGTGGGGGCTGGAGGAGGTCCTATCCAAAACGCTCCCAGTGGCGGTGCAACGTCTCCTATAGATGCACCTGCACCTGGACCGGGTTCGGACTACATTTACAGAGCGAAGGCGATGTATCCCTGTGAGTTTTGTTCTCGGGCGCCACACAAACCCGTAACTCACATGATCACGTAGACAAAGCGAACCCCGAAGATCCAAACGAAATTTCGTTCGACAAGAACGAAGTGCTTGAGATTTTGGACAAGCAGGGAAAGTGGTGGCAGGCGAAAAGAGCAGACGGCGCAGTAGGAAGTAAGTTATTCAGTGCCCGTGCCCTGTAGCCTTCGCTAACACACGTTTCCAGTCGCGCCATCCAACTACTTGCAGATCATTTAAAGTATTCACGGACTCAAGTGCTCGTACACTCATCTATCATGACCACGATGAAATCCTCGTATACCCTCGACGATCTACTGCTGGGGTTACCCTCATCCTTTCCTCTCACGCCTGTACACTTTTGCTCGGGACGTCCTGCTCTATGCTTGCCATGCATTTTTCTTTGCTTTCTGTTAAACTCTCTCGCTGCGTGTTGTACCAGGCATTTCCTGTCCTACATATGTAACTGTCGAATAGCTCGATATCGTAGCTTTCACTTCTTGCTCCACCATCACGCTTACCAGCGACCGACCGACTGCCTAGCATCCGAAAGATGCTTGGATAGCGACGATAACTGCCACAGTATTATATATGTATGAATATTGTTTGGGGTGCTAGTTATTGGTACATATGAGCTGTTCGTAACGGTAGAAACTGATTGACAATCTAGACCTTAAATGTACAGTACTATGCCTATGGTCACTAAACTCCAACGGATATCCCTACCTGCGCCTGCCTCCGCCACCTCCAAGGACGACCATTCTATTATTCTTCCTCTTGCTCCCGCCGCGCCCTGTTCTCTGCTCAAGATCATGGAATGCCAAATCCAGATCCCACTCGTCCGTCTCTCTCTCTTGCCCGCTAGGTCGACGCGCCTGACGCTGAGGTACAATCCGGGCGCCACTGTTGGGATGGTGCGCTGCAGACGCGAAACTCCTTGCGCCCCATGCCCCGGATGTCTGGTGCATCTCTAGCTGTGGAGGTTGCTCCTGGCCAGGCACAGGGAGATCGTTGAGGTTTGGCACAGGTGACGGCTCGCGAGGGGCCGGTGGCGGAATATATGCGTCGACGTGCTGGCGCGTCGTCTCGTTCCAGTTCTGTACAATACGCCCGCGCTCGCGCTCCTCAGCACGTGCGCGTGCCTTATCGTCCTTGCGGTCCTTCTCCCTGCGCCGAGTCCGTCGACCAGTCAAAGCGCGCTCGAAGCCCTTCAGGCCCTCCTGCCCTACCACACCCTCGAGATCGGTCTCGACGAAGGCCACATCGGCGCCTTCAGGGAGGTGGGATAGATACTTGCATCGCTTGCGTAAATCATCATTGACCGTGCTCTCCGTATATGATTCCACTCGTACTGTGATAGTGTTGGGAAATGCGACGTAGCTGTTGAAATGAGATCGTAAGATCTTGATGTCAAGTGGGTGGAGGAAAATCGGCGCGCCAGAGGCCGCTTGGTAGAAGTAGTACGACGACGTTGGAGGGGGTGGATTGACATTCTTCCTCCGCTTCGCATCGCGAGAGTGCGGACCAGGTGTCGTAGGCTGAGGCTCTGCAGGCATCGATGGCGAGCTGAACGTAGAAGGCTGCGATGCCAGAAAGGCGTCCGGTACATCATCAATTGAAATATTACGTGCCTCGCTCTCCCTCTCTTTGCGCCGATTGAGGGCTGCACGGTCCTCGATTTGATGCAATGCGTTGTATGCAGTATCAATGGAGCGCTTGAGCTGGGGAGTCTCTAAGGCGGCTGCTTTAGCCATCTGGTGCTGGACCTTAGCTTCGGCGGCGTCGACGAAAGCAACTCCAAGATCATCGTTCGTGTTGGTGAGTGTGCGCTTCTCCGTGGCCAAATCATCTAGATTCTGGGTAAGATCGGAAATGAGAGTAGCGGGGGTAGCTAGCATGAACTTCGCGAACTGGTAGACATCGGGCAAGAAATGGAAGGGTGTCTGGTGAGGCGGCAACAGATCCGAAGGCCAAGTATCTGAACGTGGTAAAGCCAAGGTAGTAATCTGGGGTCGCTGAATAAGTCGCATGCGTAGAGTCGAACCGGGACGAAGAGTGGATGACATCATGTTGTCTGCTGCAGTAGACGAGGCTGCCGACGGGACTTCGTCATCATCTTCCCCGGGGGCAGGAGCGTCGATCCACCTGACGGCTTTGAGCTGCTTCTCGGTGACCGAGTCGAGACATATAGGACACCGGACCCATTTGAGGTTGTCCGACGTATTAAGGTAGTGTAGAATACAAGGGAAGCAAAATATCTGAGTTTCCAGGGATGAGGGTGATTGTAGCATGGGTTAATGATGGTACGTACATGACCGCACCTCGTCATCCTAGGCGACGTCGGAGGTGAAAGACATATCGGGCAGCTCATGACACCTTCCTCTGACTTGGAAGATTCGCCATTTGCTGTGGAGACTGCAGCTGACGAACGCGGTATGATGACCTGGAGGATGTCATGCCATTGGAAAAAGCTGCTAAATGATATCAGTATCATTTCGTTTCTGCAGCTCATACACTCACATGTCAGGGTCCGCAAAGTGTACAGTATAATCCCCGCTGGGGTTCATAAGGAATCGATATTGTGCATTGACGAATCCTAGAGATCGAGGTCAGTAGACACGACGAGTCTGTGCTTATCGCTTACTTTCTCTGTTCCAGACAGCAGTATGAGTCCCAGGCTTTCTCCTGCGAGGAAGATTCTGATACTGTTGAGACTGCCTTGGAGGTAGAGAAAAGTTGAGCAGATGGTTGAGAGATTGACCAGAAGCCATCTTCGAATTGCGCTTGGGAGTCGTCGGGATACCGGAATCGACGGGTACAGTGGACATGACGGAGGAAGAGAGACGATGAAGTCCCCTTCAATGCCAAGATGATATGTCTCTAACGTCGCGTCAAACGTCGTCGAGAGCAATGGATGAGATGTGAAGCTTCCCACTGGGCGGGAAGCAGACCACCACTCGGGGGCAGAGAGCGAAGAGAGCGGAAGCGCGATGTCATGACTCAAAGTAGACGCATGTGGGACGCGACCGGGCCAAAGTGGTATTTTGCAGAGATAGTTACTTAATACGTAAACGTTTTAGGGGAATTTTAGAGATTTTACTTTAATCTAAGCCACCTTGGGGGCAAATTAGCTTAGGACCGTCACGAACCGTCGACGGCCAACACTAAAAGTATCTACTTGTTCAGTCCTCCCGTTGCCCAGTACGGTCCACTTATATTCAGCTTGCCTGCTGACATGGCAAAAGGGAAGAATCTGAATCCGGCAGATGCTTTCCGTGCGTTGCTCTAGTCAACATATTTGATTCACGCTCATCGACGATACTTCTCTAGGGAAAGCACAGAGAAAGAAAGAGTTAAAGAAGGCAAGCCAAAGTAGTATCATATCCATACCACCGCTAAGCCGTCGGTCTAAATAGTAGAACAAGACAGAGCGTGCAAAAACAAGAGATTTTGCGCTAGTGAAGAAGGACACGCGAGGCGAGTTCATGCGTTCCCCTTGACTGTGTTGGATGCTGAATGTTGCACCCTGCTCAGACCTTGAGGAGAGCATCAAGAAACTTGAGGCCGACCCAAAGGGCGACAAATCACGACTTGAAGAACTCAAAGCCGAGTTGGAGAAGATCAACAACAAGAAGGAAGAATATGTGAAGGAGCATCCCGAGCACCGGAAGCTGGTCTATCGGCCTCGCAGAGACTTGAATGATCAAGGGAAGCAAGCAGATGCACCGAAACCCCAGAGTCGTAACCTGTTCAATAAGCACGGTCTTCCCCGCCATCCTGAGCGCAGTATTTACCATGATCCTGTGCTTAATCCTTACGGAGTCCCACCTCCAGGAATGCCCTACATCGAGCGGCGTGCGTGTATCCCCAAGACGTCTAGACGTGTCACACTGACCCTGTGGTAGCCCTTAGACCAGATGAGGTTACGAGTGATCAAGGAGAGCAGGGTATGTACACTCACACTGCTTCCTTCCGTGCACCTATTCACCTTAACGTAAGACGATGAAGATGATATTGTAATGCCTGTCGGACCACCTCCTGGTGTTAAGGAGGAAGACGACATTGGTGTTGATGATATCCCCATGCCTGAAGGGCCACCACCGGGTAAAGAAGGTAAGCCGTCATCCCAACGATCTGCCTTCGATATAGTACCTGACTATTTCCCATGCAGCTCCGCCGTTACCGCCGCTCCCTCCTCCCGTCGCTCCGCCCCCCGCGACACCCGGCCCACCACCGTTGCCGCCGGATCCCCCGTTCCCTCCCCCGCCAGCTGGATTCCCGACTGCTCCTCAGCACTCTTGGTTCTCAGTACCACCGCCCCCTCCGCCTGGCTTCCATTATGCAGGCTCAGGAGCTCCCCTTCTTCCACCGCCTCCGGAATCTGGCATGCCGCATGTTTATTCGGGAACCCCGCTCCCTTCGGGCGCTCCCCCTGGTTTCGCGCAACCGCGATTTCCGCCTCCTCCGCCTGGGTTCTACCCTCACAAGACGCAATCTATTAGCTCTATGCAAGATCCACTCTCAGCTGTTCCTCATCAGACCTTCCAGGCGCATCGGGCTTCGAAAGCAACACACCCGTCTTTACCCCCGAAGCCGGTTGATGCGAGCACTGGTGCCATATCGGCGGCAGCAACTGTCACCGCAGAACCAGAACTGCGCGATTTTAAGAAGGAGGCCACAGCTTTTGTGCCTGCTGCCCTCAAGCGCAAGAAAGTCCCCCGCCGCGTCGTCATCCAAAATCAACGCGGCTCCGTCGGTCGATGCTGGCGTAGATTCGGAACCGGCGGCGACACCCCGTCCGGATCTGCTAAGTACACTGAAGGCGCAGTTAGGCACTGGCTCACTTTCGACCAGTGGGCATGAAGCAAAGCCCCAGGCTGCGAACAAGTCCAAGGACGACTATGATAAATTTCTAGAGGAGATGGGAGATATTTTTGGTCCAAAGGCTTGATGCAATGCTCATGCTGATGGCACCAGCACTATGTGATGCATTTACATATTTTGTCAACTTATGCTTTCGTTTGCGATACACACACGTGTTGGAGCTATCACATCATTTTGTCAGTCTCCTCAGGTGAGATCTTCGGCCTAACCGCAGCCGAGCCCCGACACCGCGCGACTCCGTCTTGGCCGACTTTGCCCAAGGGCTCCTACATCTCACCGCTCTCGTGCTCATAGTTTTGTACATATCCGACGCTGTGCTGTGCTGTTATGGCGATGTTGGAGGAAGTAGTGGTCTACGATACCCATGCCATACTACTACGCCCTCGCCCCTTCGCCAAGGCCTCTGGCAGACTCATCTTACTCCCACTACTACCTCGCAAAGCCGTTACGAAGCCCCTGCCTTCCGAGATCTGGGCGAAGATCCTAGGCTATGTCTTTGCTGACTATCAACGACCATCGTCTTCTGGCAAAGCGGTGGGCTCGAAATTGAACCTCTTGCTCGTGTGCAAGTCCCTGAAAGTGCGCTCCGTTGTCCATCAAGCTCGAGAGGTCTGCTGGCTAACTTAATACGTCATGTACTTCCGTAGGATGTCGCATTGCCACTGTATTATGAAGACATACATCTAGACGATCCCGCACACCTGGAGCAATTCACTGAGCTGCTTCGTGTAGCCGATCGCCGTTGGGACTCCATTCGACGCATTCCCTATTCCGCGCCAGGGCGATGGGTCCACAGTTTGGACCTGTCTGACCTGCGCTGCAACCTTTGGTCGGAAGTCTGTCTAGTTGACACACTTCTGACTCGTCTTGTCCCTCTTCTACCCTTCCTCGCTCATCTTGTTCTGAACTCAACAATCGCTGTCAGCCGACGTCTCGTTGACAGCATATGCAGCCGAGATGGAATCGGGCGACTTCTCTCTCTCAAGGGAATCAAGTTGGCGTCATCCGTAGATCTCACTTCTGAAGATACTTTCCTTGAGGTTTTGCGATGCTCACAGAACCTCGAAGAGCTGGAGATTTACGGCTCAGGGGTTGAGCCACTACTGACAGACATACCTGGGGCATCGGTGGACTTCGATTTCTCGGCGAAACCTCTTCGCTTACCTCGACTCCGCAAGTTGGCCGCAATCTCCATGCACTGCTCCCCTGTCATGTTTTTCCTCCTTCATTCTTCGCTGCCCATGTTGACCCATTTGACGATTACTCCTTATGACGACGTATCCGTTCCAAGCTCGCTTGTGCCTCGCTTCATTGAAAGGCACGGCGCAGAGCTGGCATCGCTCCATCTGTACGCACCGAAGGCTTGGCCAACAATGCTTTTCCCCTCGCCCACCACTCTGCTGTATACTTGTCCGAAGCTGAACCATCTCTCGCTAGAGAACCCGCTCCCTACGCTTACCATCTGCTCCATCTATCCGAAGCACCCCCTGAAGATCCTGTCGATTCCGAGGCCCGAGGCTGGGTTTCTCAGGGTCTTAGAATCTCTGCTGCCGAAGCTGCCAGCGCTGAAGGTGGTGCGCGCGCGCGATGTGCGGTGGTTGAGAGCGGGCATGAGCTCGCACGCTCACGTCGCCGGCGTGCAAGGAGAAATGCGAGACTGGCGACAACGTCTCGCACGAAGGGGTGTCACCGTGGTCGACACCGCTTGGATGCCTCAGGGGGGATAGGCCTATAACGTTAAACCTGTTCATGCCTTTCGCATCTCTCGAACCTCTTAATGGCTGCTGTACTAACATCAATACTGTTGTCTGTGTGTTGTGCTTAACTGTACTATTGTACTAATAATGTGTCTCGCTGAAGATTTCTGTCAGCGCTTTCTGTATATGTACTACTCCCCGCTCGAGCTCTACTCATTGTATACGCGAAACTTCATTTTCCTCCAAAGGTCATGTATCTCCACGCTTGCACACTACTGAGCACCGAAGTGGAAGCTGTAATTGGTCCATAATAAAGTGCGGCGTCGTTTGGCACATTCAAGTATTTAGTACTCAGTGCCAGCGGTTACGCACGACAGCCGGCCAACCCGTGCTAACCCAGATCCCAAGAGAGTTGCAAGAGAGTCTAATTGGACTTGCAGGTTTTCTGAGCGCCCAGCTTTTGCCTGTGCTAATAAGCAACCTTTAATCCGTGTCGGGATCCCAGATCGTCCCGATGCATCTCCGCATTCCAAACGAAGCCTTGGTGGCGCGCTCTAAGTTTCGAGAGATCGGCCAGGTCCAAGTCCAACTCGACTGCAGCGACCTCGACCGACCTCCTGTGGCGACCGACTTTACTCAGAATCATCACTCTTTTTGTTGCTGGTCAACTAATCGGTATAGTTTGTGTACACCACTTCATCTAATCATGCGACCCACTTCTCTCGGTCTCGCTGCCACCGCCTTGCTGTCCCTGGTCGGTGTGCCTGTCTCGTTCGCTTTCCCCATTTCTACGTCAACTGTACGTCTCAGATTGAGCACATCGCTCGAAAAATGAAGATATTCACTCACGCAACGCGGGCTTTTCCAGGTCTCTTCTCGTGCGGTTCCGCCGGCAGGCTCAGGCTTGTTCAATCCAGGCACCCTCTCGCACCCTCTGGTTCCGATAACGGACGTTGTTTCTGGAGTCGCGCAAGACGAAACAGGCACAAAAATGAAATCTGTATGATGTTTGGCCGCAGTTCGCGTGAGTTTCCACGTTCCGTCAGAGACGCGTAAACCTTTCAACAAGCCAGTGTAGTGACAGCCTGTTGTAACATATCCTCCTTTATAATGAAACGTAATACGTCACGTACAGGCGGTCAGAGTTCACAGTGTGGTGGCATAGATCACATTTTCTGTCTATGAGGGCTGCGCCCAGCGGCTCACACCAATCCAGCCCTGTCCCCTAGTCAAGTGGCAGCAACTCCCTGGGCCGTCAGTTTGCCTTCGTTCCTTTTCTCACCCGTGATGAATTTTCATCCGCTTTCGATCCCGGTACTCCCTAGCAGAATTCTTAAGATTAACTACGATACTTTCCTCATTTTACCGTTTAACATGCCTCCTGGCTTGTCACGGCAAGGACAGTCCTACTATCCGAGCACAGAACCTAAAGCTTGCTCTCCTATTCAAGAATCTCGGAATTTTGGACTCTAGACTCGGGATGTCGCTGTGAACTGGCCATGTGATCGGGTGGCCGTCGCTACGCTTTGGTACGAAGAGCACCTCATTCGCCCAGACATGGTAAAACGATGCGACATACTGATATTACGAAAGCAGTCCAACCACTTTCTTCCTTTTCGTTTTAAACCTTTCTCTACTATCAAGATCCCCGGACACCTTGGCTGCAGATGCTGCACTGTCCGCTGCATACCTCTCGACATGATAGAGCGACATTTATGGGGGTTATTTCTCGCAAACACTACCATCGACGGGATCTGGGCAATCACCTCGTGTACAAATGTAATCTGTCTTTCCTAAGATATATATGCGTATTTCCCAGCAGTGCTCTACGATCAGCAGTCCTAAGGGCAACCAGCACTTGATATATTGATAAGTTACGTGTGCCTAGCGCTTGAGGTTTTGAGCGGGGCGTCTTGTAATATTCTCGACTGGCACCACCACTATGGCAGCGACAGTCTCAAGCTCGTCTGACATCCTTCCGCTTGGGAAGTATCTTGCGTCTACTGGTACGCACTATCGGTTCCCGCTATGTCATTCCTTGAATTGACGTGGTGTAGCAAGATAAGAAAACCAGGGACAAGGCTATAAAGAGCTTGCCCGTGTTCCTCTGCGACCCTTCGCACGATGACCTCCCCAAAGTTGAAATGGCGAAGCTGTGGAAGGGGATCTTCTACTGTGAGTAAATTACCTCATGCTATCATTCAGTCGCTCAATGTCTATGTCAGGTTTCTGGATGTCGGACAAGCCGCTAGTGCAACAAGCTCTCGCCAATGAAATTGCTGAGACCGCCCTGAAAATCCCAAAAACCCCCTCGGCACTAGCTTTCTTGCGCGGCTTCTGGGAGGCGTTGGTTAGGGAATGGCCTGGTATAGACCGTCTCCGGTATGTTCACTCGTACTCTTGGACGATGTACCATACTGAAGCTCGGTCTCTAGCCTTGACAAGTATTACATGCTCATCCGAAGATTCGTCAACGCATCCTTCCGCCTGCTCATCCGAAATGAGTGGGATGCTACTATTTGTGCAGAGTATAATACCATCTTAACCGACAAGGGCGGTCCTCTATGGTGAGCAGCCTTTTCATACCTACTTATCGATAGTTTTTACAAACGGACGCAGCCCAGAAGACCCGCGCGTTCCTGTCGGCCTTGCATACCACCTCGCAGACATCTACGTCGAAGAGCTGGACAAATCCATCGGCTTTTCCGAGGACCCCCGCCCCGCCCCGCTCGCCACCCTAGTCGACCCCTTCTTCACCCTCGCTGCGCGTACCCTCAACAAGACGACATACGATCGCCTGCAGTCCGCTCTGTTCGAGCCCCTGGTCTCTGCGCTCTCGCCATCCGCTCCATCAGAAGGCGGGGACGGCGAACGAAGCCGGAAGCGAGCGAAGCTCTCTGGCTCGCAGTTCGAGCACCTCGTCTCGAACTCGTGCGTCTCACAGCCCAAGGAGGGTGCAATGCCACCTGCCGCTGTGAAGAAGGTGCTGCTCAAGCAGCTGTTCGACGTGGCCGGAGAGGAGAGTACGAGAGACTCGAATCGCCGGAAGCTCTTCGCGTTCTACAAGAATCATGCCGATGAAGAGGATGAGGACTCAAGCTGACAGTGCTATAGCGATCTCGGCCACACACGGATGAGTATTGAATATGCAGCAAAAATGGTGGCGCGCTAGCAAAGCCCTTCTAGTCATCCATCCCAATACATTCCGTACATGTAGTGGTATCTAAATGAACAGGGATATGCTACAGCATGAAAGCATTTCTATTACTCCGCTTTGTAGTGAGAGAAGTCTGACGGCACTCAGGAGCGTCCGTTGTGCGAAAAGCTAAAATGAAGAGAACGTGCTACAAACCATGGTGAGGCATAGAATCAAGCTTCCAAGTATAAATATTACAGCAACACGACGGAAGCACCCAGCAATGCGGAGATAAGCACTGCACTCGAGGACAAGGCGACAGCGGGACCCGCACTATTACTCGAGCCGCCGCCACTGCCACTGTCGGTGTCCGACGTGCCACTACTTGTCGGAGTGACAGACGCGACAGAGCCGATTGTGGCTGATGGGACGGGGTCATCGGCTCCATTCATGGCGAGCGACTCCGAAGAGAGCTGCGCGAAACCGACAGCAGCGGGGTTGGAACGGAAAACGGAATATACATTTTTCTGCGGAAAGGATTAGATCCGAGTCGAAGCACAACACATGGATAACATACCAGGAACACGTCACCGAAGATGAATGGAGGGGTGGAGGAGCCCGAATTCGAGATCTCGAAGAAAGCACCAGCGCAGTTGTCTTGGTCAACCTGCTCCAAGGCGAAGTCCGCAGCGGAGATTGTCCAGAAGATGGCGCTATTGCCCCAATTAACCTCGACAGTAACGGTAGTGGAGCAAGCTGCGAGATACGATAAATCCAATGCATATTTTGTCGGCATGTCAAAATACACGTACGGTAAATGTAGTAACCTTCGGTCTGGCCACTGCCCGGCTGGCTATTCGGAACGGCGGCGAAGATAGCTTGTAGTGTATCCTGAGGCACACCAACACCAGTTGTGCCGGTGTCAATAGCAGCCCATGCATTGGACCCAGTAGGGACGGTGATAGATTGACCATTCACCTTGAGGCCTAAAAATTACCAGTCAAACCACGGGCAGAGTACCGGATGGGGAAGGCATACCGGTCAGCTCCTGGATCCAGTATCCCGGGGCACCATCAGGAATCGCCTGGAAGTCAATATCGCCAGTGAACAGGCTACTGTTGGTGGCACCAAGAGTGAAAGTGCCTCCCAGCTCCAACTGGTTCGCGTTGGTATCGTTTGTGAAGCGTGTGAGCTGGAAGGCGAACAACGGGGAGTCGAGAGTACCAGAAGTGCTGGCCAACGATTGCCAGAACGGCTCCGCGCCAGAGGCGGCTATACTCTGGAAGCCCAACCCCATTAAACCGGAAATAGGTTTTGTTAGGAGCTGTTGGGAAGTTTGGTTGACCACCCCTGAGTCGCATGTTCAGCGTTGAATGGCAACGGCCACAGGATGGCGATGCTCACCGAAGGTCTGATTGACTTCAAAGCCCGCGAACTGTACCCGGTCCTGACCAAGGACGCCTTGAGCCGATCCTGAACCATAAGTGATGCCGAACTCTTGGTTGAGATTCGTGAATGTTGAAGATGCTGCGCGCCGTATTGATCAGCTGTGCACCGCAGTAGCTGGATTTAGAACTTACATGACGGCTCAAAAAGCGTGATTCCATCGGTGCTGCGGCTGTCGCTTGAACCTGATGCGAGCCAGAGATCCCTGAAGTGGATGGTGAGCTGAGGTAAGGCGGGCGGAAATTGTGCAAACGCACGAGGACCCCGTATCCAGGATAACGTCGAATGACGCGGGCGGAGTACCGACGGCAAGACTACCAAAATATCTGGAACGCTTGTGAGCAAATCACCCGGTGGAGACAGGAAAGGACATACGCCGAGTCAAACTGCAGATTCGTGAGCCTGCGAGGAAATGTCAGTCGTGTCTCTACTTACGAGGCCGGTGGTCCTGCACGTACAGATTCTGACCATTGGCACGTTTCTGGTTTCCTGATGAGCCAGCACCATACTTGTGATGGGTAGCAAGTCTGTTCTGCTGCAACCAGGCTAAGGCCTCATCTGTGCTTCTCTGTACGTTGCCGCGGCGCAGAACATTGATTGTCCGGGCGACGGGCTCGACTGGAGAAGGGGTCGCTCGGGCATCTGTCCCTGACAGACCTAGCGAGAGCAAGAGAAGGCCCAGTGGAAAAGCAGAGGAGAAGGGCGGGGATAGCATGGTGAAAGTAAGATGAGAAGCAGGGAGGAAAGAGAATTGAGTAGGAAAGGGTATACGTTCGAGCACAGGGCCAGCCTGAAATATGAAGTGCTGCGGGAAGAGTAAAGGCTGCGGAGGGAGCGCCGTAGGCTCCCATGACAAAATAGACAGCCTCGCCCAGAAATGGCATCTCCTTCCGCGTCCCCACCGCCACGTCCGCTGCATACGTATTGCGCAGGCCAATCATAATAACAGCAGAGGCATGCGCCGGCATCGAGCCGCGCACCTGCGACCATCGGTTGCGCAGCCGATTCTGCTGGCAATCTCCTCGACTACCGCGCGCGTGTCGGCCAGTTGAAACCTGCGCCGGTGCTGTGCTTGATGTGCTCAGTCACAGGCTTCACCATGCATAGAGCGTATATGTTCTGATATCGATGCGACGGCGACGAGCTGCATGCGCTTTGCGCGCTGACCCTCTCCAGTGTCGACGCCGCCATCTAGAATACCATGGAGGACCACGTGCAGAATATTGATGACCTGTCAGGAACGTTCGTACGCACAGCGCCACGATGCGCCAGGGCACCATGTAGTTCTGAGCATTCCCTGCTGACTGAACGCCATCGTTCGTTCCAGAGTCCAGAGTTGCAGACTCTCGGCTTTCTTAGAGGCGTGGTGCCCCGCCGCCGGTCCAGCCGCCATCAATCCCGCCTCGCAGCCGCCATCTTGGTGAGCCGTCTCCGCCTCTCATGCTTCGCGGCTTTCGCTTTGCTGATCTTGACATCTCACAAGACTCGCACCTCACTGCGCTCGTACAGAGGTGGCGGCCATCCTGTCTCTTCGCCAACTTTACCACCATTCTCTCCCCTGACCGAGATCAACTCTCAGCGACGATACTGCTCCTTGTGGATCCCCTTTCCGCCGGACGGGATCGTCCAACGAACGATAAGGTTCGCTACAGAGTGCGAAATCCATGCATCTGTCACTGTCATCGCCCCTGCTCACCAGCTGGTGCGCTGGCACCGCTGAAGGCTACTGTTCAGTGATCCCGGCTGGTGTTTGATGGATAGCTGAGCGCTGATGCATTGTCGACAACAGCTTCACGGTATTTAAATGTACTGCAAGATTTGTCTCTGAAGTGTCCGTTCTCCCTTCGTCCTCATAGCTGTTGGGCACCATGTACTCCTGGAACACCACCATTGATGATACCAGTTCCGCAATATTATTTACTCCTTACTGTATGTCACTCTCTTCCTGGCCTTGCGAGATTGTTCTTTACGCTACGCCCAGCTGAAGGTCCCATCGAAAGTGGGTGGGCGGGCTGGTTTCAGGGCTCTGTCACGCAGTTTGCGTCTACTGGTGGAGAGCAAGCTATTGGAGACTCCCTGCACATCACATCCTTTCCGGGAGCTAGCTTGCAACTACAATTTAACGGTGCGCCTTTGAGTCTGCCCTCCGCTTCCTTGCTTATATTCTTTCCAGGGACTGCTATTTATCTATATGGCAAAGCGAACTGCACATATACTATCACATTAGACAACCAGTTCATCGCTGTTCCCCTCTCATTGCCCGACGGGTTATTATTCTATCAAGAAAGCCTCGCCCCGACCACTCATTCCGTTCAACTGACCGCTCAGCCCGATGTGAACTCTACACAGCAACTCGACTTCGATCAGGCTATATTCACAAACACGATCGACCAGGAGTGAGTGAGACGCTGACATCTATGTCAGGGTACTCTGCTTACTTGTTTATAGTACCAATGGTTTGGTCCCGGTCGTTTACGAAAATTGGAACGGCACGCTGCAGTATTCGGGGAACTGGGCCAACTTGTCTGGCGTAAACTGGATACCGAACACTCAAGACCCTGCTCCCTATGTAGAAACGAACCAAAGCTTGTCCTCGGTCTCGCTAACCTTCACAGATGGTGTTGCAATCGCCGTGAATGGTCCGCGGAACTGGGGACACTGGACATACAACATCGTGAGTCGACTGAGTCAGCATGCCGAAGACGTGCCCATCTTTGTCTTAGAGCCTGGATGGCGAAGTAACTTCGTGGAACTGCAGTACGCTCTGGGGTATCGGCGACACCGTATTGTTCTACGAGAACAGCCTGGATCCCACAAAACAGCATACCATCGAGATGATAAACACAGGCACGCAGGACTACTACAAACTGTCCCTGAATTATTTTACCGTCTATGCCCTGGATAACTCGAACGGCAGTGTCGCGTCTACATCAAGGTAAGCTACATTCCGAGCGGAGAGTGCAGCAGCAGAGACTAACTCCGCATAGCACCACAGCAAGCGTGTCGTCTAGTACGGCGCCACTCCCTCCCTCCATAGCGACGGGCAAGAAGACTGACGTCGGGGTTATCGTAGGTCCGGTGCTGGCCGGCGTAGTTATTCTCGCGCTTACCCTGTTCGCCGCACTCTGGTGGTGGAGACGTCGTCGCCCGGCACCGCGACAAGATCCTGTCGCGCCTTTCCCTAAGAACGACAGGCCAGAGATCTGGGTCAAAGGACAGGAAGCAGGCATTTCTCGCAATCCCATGGTCAGGGTCTACGAACCTATCCAGGCTCCCATTGTCTCTGTGAAACGATCTGCTGCCAGGACGTCCATCTCTGCGCCCTCCGTGCCTTCCGCAGAGACTCACGCGAGCGACAGTGGTCTGAGCGTGAGCCAGACGAGGCTCCTTCCATCGCACTCCCAGCAACCGTCGATATCCAACTCGCAATCTACCGGCGCTCCGGCCTCGATGCCGACGCTGGATGTCAATCAACTGGTTGAATTAATTGCACAGAGGATTGACCCGCGAACGAATATACCTCAAGGCGACGCACCACCACAATACCCTGCTTCCTCTTATTGAATTTGATCTTGCCACCTCGCCGATATGTTACAGCTGCGTCTCTGACATGTGCGGACTCTTATACTGATGCGGTCGCTTATCTAAGTTCCTTTAGCATGTACTTTGAAAGGCTGGTTTTGTGCTATGCTAACTCCCGAAGTTGCCGACACTTGGTTGCACCTACGAGACTTGCCTGGTTGTATACTTCTATAGAACAAACTGATATCCTGCGTATTCCTGGCGAGCGGGCGTCTCACGGGCACGGGCAGCCGTTTGATTAAGGCGCATACACAGGTCAGCATCGCCACTTTCTTCCTCGTTCCGCCCGATGTACCGAGCTTCGCTGACAGTGCCGACTACCATCTTCCTATCGGTACGATTGACACACATTCACACAAGCATCGTCGAACAAAAGATTACCGTCATTTTCAGATGTTGTGACGAGTCTCGGGGTGAGAAACAGGTCTGCTGTAAGGCAACCATCGCGATCCTAGATTACCAAGCCGAGATCGAACAATCGCCGCTTGGGTCTGTTCGGCAATACTGCGCGAGCAGGGTCGTCAGTTGATCGGACTGGACGCGTCAGTTGCGAACTAGCTGGCACTGTGGAACGTTACAACAAGTCGACGGCATGACAATGAGCTCCACCGTTCAAACGAGCTGAAAGCTAACTTCAGGATGTACTCGGAAACCGCATTCACGACGATGTCTCGCTTCGAACAAGGCCGTGAATGTTCCTGAGACGCGGCTCCGTCAAAAAAGCGGACGTATGTGTTGGTTGCTCACCCTCTCCCACCAGCCAATAGGCCGACATAAGTCGTACGCGAACATCCGGCGACGATGGCGGCCTTCAATCATACTATGGATGATTCAGACCAGAACTTCAATTACTATCCATATGGTAAGTGCACGAACTGCGTAAATCGCTCACGTGGTGACCTCTCATTCTCTTTCACTACAGCCGATGGCGACATGACAGGAGGCTGGTCCCCATGGTTTGCTGATTCTGGAAGATTTCGCGATGTCAGTGTTCCTGGGGAAGAAGGAGTCGGACAATCACTGCAGTACACGGCCTTCGCGAGATCGAGCGTCACCCTGGAGTTTCACGGTGGGCTCACATCAGTATACTGATCTTTCATCCGACTCATCAAGTGTCAGGAACTGCCATCTATGTGCTCGGGAGCGCGAATTGCACTTACGATGTAATCGTCGATAGATTGACGTCCACGACGAACGTGCCGCTCCCGACGTCTGGTCTCTCCCTTGGCACACATATCTTGAACCTCACTGCACACGCTTCTGAACAGCAGCAGCTCGCGCTGGATCCACGATAGTGCCATCGTTTCGGACGAGCTACCAAGCGGGTACGTATGATTCTCCTGATCCCCGTGACCGATGCCAACATCATCGCCGCCGTTACAGCGTTAGTTCACTGGCGCTTGTCGTTTACGATAACATGAATTCGACGTTGCAGTATTCAGGCAGCTGGGAGGTTGACAGTGACAGCCAAATTCCTAGCAAATCTTCCCCGAAACCGTACCGCCAGACATCTGCTTCATTGGCCTCAGTTTCGCTCAACTTTACAGGTGCTGCTATCGCCATTAATGTCGCACCAGATTGGGGCCATTGGACGTACAATGTGGTGAGTACAAAATCTTGCAAACAAGAAGTGTTATGTGACTAACCTTACGTATTGAGACTTTAGATAGCGTGCAGACACAATACAACGCGAGTACGTTCTAGCTCGTTGGCAATGCTCAGTCACTCTAGCAAAGCGGTCCTGATCCGACCAAGCCGCACCAGATCGAGCTCATCAACGCTGCTAGCGCGGGAATGATTATGATGTTGAATGACTTCACGGTATATGCCCCCAACGTTTCTGCAGCAAGGTTTGTCTATTTAAATATCTGATTGCATATTTTATTGAAACTTCAGATTGCAGCGCCGCTTCATCCTTAGCTTCATCTCAAGCGAGTAGTACTCAGAGCTCTCTTCCGGCTACAAGGTCCGCTGGTACCTCCAGTTCAAAAGTCAATACTGGAGTTATCGCCGGCCCAATTGTCGGGGAGCACTATTACTGGTTCTGATTGTCGCGGTTTTTCTCTGGACGCGGAGACGCCGGGAGCCCATGCAAGACATACTTGCTCCCTACTACGAGGGATTTCCGCCTCCTGATGTGCAACAGAAGTCTGGCCAAACGGTTCTGTCTCCATCTACCTCCACTCTGTCGTACCAGATTCACGAAGCACAATCTACTCCGCGTAATCCTTTCGTCAATCAATCTGCGACTATAGCCCCGACTGAGGCGAGGACAGGGCTGTCGCATGCGTTGCTGCTATCACCCCTATCACCCCCTCTACAGGCTCCTGTTGATGTGGATAGAATCATCGAGCTGATCGCCCAGAGGATAGACCATCCACTTCCAGCTGAGCACGAGTTCCCTCCCCGGTATCCCCTGTGATATCCGCGAGAAGATACTCCGCTGAGATCTAATGTTAGAAGAGCTTTAATTGAGGTGTTGGTTCAACTCCCTCATGCCTAGCATTTTCGTTTGCCTCTTTGTTACTAGTATATAAGTCTCCTGTCTTCGCTCCTTACCAATGAGACAGAGTCCTTTTGACGACGCTAGCTGGCCTGCTTGCATATACGCCATATCTGTCTCAAGTCAAAGCAATATTTGCTTTGCTGTTTGACTTCCGAGAAAGGCTGTGGAAGGAGACGAGCCAGAGGCCCGAGACCTGCGCTGATTGGTTGGGCGAAGTCCGTGGGAACATTTTTGACGTGACAGTCACGGATTAGCGTGACGTCATGTCCCTGGCGAAGTCCTCCCGCTCCGCAAAGCAACGAGCAGGTCAAAAGGCACAGTGGACATGACTCCTGCTCTCTCATCCTCCTTCGTTGCCGGCGATGCAGTCCACGATGTCCGCGACAGATGACACGATTCTCCGCCCCGTCCCTCAGACCGGGAACGCTGTCACCGAAAAGACGCCTGGGTCGCCGCCGCTAACAGTCACTGGAGTGGCCGAGAACGACGAAGCGCAAGGTGGCTTCGAGTCTGCTATCCCGAATGAGCCGTCTCCTCACTCATCTACAAAACTAGAAGTGTTGAAACTCAAAGATCCTGCAGTAAAGGACTTCGGCTGGAACAGTCCTCCCCACGCCGTCCCATCGCCCCTTGTCCATGGAGTGCCGAACGATGACCTTTGGGTACTCATCAGACGATTTAATAAGGTATACCGCACCATGTTCTTTATTTATTTGTCCGTAATACTGACACGCTGCGTAGCAAGTCTTCAATGTCCGAGTGGTAGACAATGTACCCGGGTTGCTGGATATGGAACTATCCGAGAACGAGGAATTTTCTCCGGACAAGCTACGGGCCACACTGGAACGTTTTTACATGGATGTGGTGCGTGCACCGCGTCCCCTCTTGTCTATAACTGGACTCAAGTCCGCTGCAGATTGTAGGCGTGGCCGCTTTCTTTAAGCATATTGCCCGCTTGCGTTCATGGAACGAGCCTCGTAGGACAGCATGGTTTGCTCTGGTAAGCTTCAATCCTAACTTGTGCACGAGTGTAGTTTTGACAAGGTCCGAAGGCGTATGTTATTGCGTGGTGGTTCAATATCCTCATGCCTGCGTTCTCTGTCACCCTCGCAGTCCTAATCGTCGATCCGCCGACAAGGAGGCTGTTGTTCCCTCCTGCCCCGCTTTCTGCGATTAGCGCAACGTCTGGCAACTTACAGATTCCGAAGGCCGGTACTTTAGGCAGCAAAGACAGCCTGTCTGGTGCTCCGGAAGCACACAAAGGCGAAGCCGTCGAGCAAGAGGCTCGCCATTTCGTTGCGGGCCTCGGCTCAGTAGCAGTCGCTACGGCTGCTGGGAAGGGACCAGGCGAAGATATGTTGCAGTGTTTACGAGGATGACATAGCCCTTCTTCCCGTGCAGGCGAGCGGAGAATACGCAAGGGCCCTCACCTCCTGGAAGGTTAACCCGCGCGACCTCGGGAGGGTGTTCGCTCTGGACACTGCCATCGTCCGAGCCCTTATGCATGGTCTCCGAAGGCGGTGACTGAGCGACGGCACCAAGACGATTCTTGGCAGGCTCAGATCCTACTTTGGCCTTCAGATGATCTATGCCGAGGGCGCCGCCAACACCGGCCTTGACGGTTCGTTTGAGAGCGGCAGCAAGTTTCCGGCCTGGCTTGCGCTTCTTAGCACCTTCTTCATCTCCATCGGCGTAGTCCTTCTCGCTATACACCTGGTCTCTGTAGTCTTCTGAGTCTGTATCGACGTCATATGAAGAACCGTCGAATGAATCAGACTCGTCGTCCGAATCCGATACTGTAGGCTGCTCCGAGGTAGGTGGAGGAGGCAGAGGTGCTTTGTTTTTCTCCGCTATGCGAAGGAGGGTCAGAGTCAATTGCGCATTCGTGGGCACACCGGCCAGCAGCGTTCTGCGACGCATGAGCACGCAAGCAAAGCGAACGAAATCCGCGCAGCGTACCTTCGTAGCTCGAGGTATTTTTGCCAATGGGGAATCCGACGTGTGAGTGCACGCAGGCTGCGAACGAGGAGGGGTTGACCGAAGAACACCACACCCGAGAGAAAGGTTGCCATCCGCAAGAAGAACACAGTGCTGACGAGACATGTAATTAGAGCGAGAGGTATCATCGGGCACGCAAGCTTGAGCCGCGGCTCCCAATAAGGGAATGGATGCTGAGGAGACAAAGCACTGTGAGGTACGTCAACTTATCGCCAATAAAAAAGAAAATTACGCAAGACGTACTTGCCGAACCGCTCCCATGTATCCGAGATGTCGTTGATGATACGCATGGCAGGAGCAGCTTTACTCCACATTGCAGCTTCGACAGGTACCTTCGCCGGATCTTTGGCAGCATTATCGCCAGATGCCAGGTATTTCGCCTCCACTGAGCCGGCGGCCATGCCCGTTGGATCCGGAGCGATACCCTCAACAGAAGTTGCGGGCTTGTCGATGCCTTCAGCCTCGGCATCTCCGCCCCCGACTGTGTTTCCGTTGCCCTCCGTGCATCTCATTTGCGTACACGAAGTTGTCGAAGAGCCTGCTCAGCACGCTTGTTCCGGGACATCACGACAAGTCTCAGGATGTGGATGTGGATGTCAGACCAGAGTTCACGATTGGCCTCGCCGACATGCGAGAGATAAGGAAAATCGGCGGGTACGGGTGGAAGGCGAAGATGATTATTGGTTGGGCCATGGGCCGTGAGGTCCTTGATGGTCTCGAGATCACTGATGACAAAGGGCAGAAAGTAATCTTGACCACCATCAAGGGGAGAGACGAGCTCTTCAACCGACTCGTTGCCATGGGTGATCACAAGTGGGAGGCTTACTGAGTGTTCACGTAGGACGCTGTACCATTTGGTGGAATATTGAATCTGTTGTCGCGGAGTCGAATTTAGTTTGAACGGAACGTCTTGCGAGTGTCCTGGATGCACACTAATCCCCAATGCTGAGGGTAGTCGCGTCAGCTTCGTATCTCATGCATGTCACAATTATTCAGATCTCAGACGTTGATGAGGACATCCACGAGTCAGGATGCTATTCGTGCAACGTCAACGAAGACGGCGTTTGCTGTTCCAGTACAGTTAGCGACATAACTCATTTACACATGAAATACCACGCCTAGTTAGGCTATGGTCCCACAATGCACGTTTTCTGGTTTTTGCCCCTGTCTCACGGACACGCGCGCAGCGACATCTCAGCTCCATTTGCATTTTATAGTATCGCCCCGCGCTGCCTGGCGGGAATGATCCCTGCTAGTGCGACTCTTCTGATGTGCACGGCGTTCTCTTCTGGAAATTCGAGAGCTGCGTTAGGTCGCCAACCGATGACGACTTGCGGATTCGGTGCGGTCGTGGGTCTAGACCCTAAGGCAAGTGTTTCATGGAGACACCTCACCGATGATTCATGCGCAGCTTGGATGCACTCGATGTGCGCTCCGCTGGTAGTAGGTACGGCATGCCGACCCTGTATGTCATTGAAGATGTCGGAGGCATCACTCTCGTCCCATGAGTCCATACAGTCGCCAAACGCAGCGAGGTCCTCTTCAGGTCGTACATGCCTCCTTCGCAGCTCCTCAGGCCCTGCAATATGCAGGATCCGCATTCTTCGCTGAACAAAACGTACGACTCTCGGGAATCAATTACCATCACATCTCTGCTCGAGCTTTTTTGTTTGCGTCTATCCTCACGCACGACATGTGTCATGAGTAGGTTCATGCAGCGTCCTCTCAAGTTACTAAGGCGGAAACAGCCGCAGGGACGCACTATTTCCTGCTTTAGATGACGTCGAGAGCTACGTAAATATATTCAGGCGAGCGGTCCGACTGCCACGGTGCCTCCTTGTTACCGACCAAGCTACCGACTACGACGGCGGGCCCGCACACAGCAACCATGCTAAAGTCTCCTATAACATGTCATGGTACAGCCAAGGCCTAGTAACGGTAGAAGCATTCACTGATAGTGTACAGTCCTCGATTCTTCGCTAGGCAAGCCTGCCGCTGGAGTGCCAGTCGAGCTACAAGAGATCAGCCTTGATTCGCCCTCAGCTTTGTTCACTACGATTGCCAAGGGGTGTGTAACTCGGATTAGCTTTCTAGACCCTCATGATAACGTTCTGGACAGCGTCACCGACTCCGATGGGCGGTGCATGCAACTCTGGCCCGAGGGCGAGAACGAGCAAGTAAGGCAAGAAAGGGCTAAGCTCAAACCTGGAAAGCTGTACAAGGTAATATTCCAAACCAAGCCTTACTTTGAGAACTCGGGTCGTAAATGCTTCTACCCGTGGGTCGACGTAAGCCCGCTGGAACACATAGATGCTGTATGCCACACTAATTTCACCTCGCAGATCACATTTGAACCAACCACTGCCAATGAGCATTATCACATCCCACTTCTACTAAGCCCATACTCGTACACAACCTACAGAGGAAGTTAGAATAGTGTATCAAATGCCACAAATGTTAATACAATGCCAAGACGATGAGGAGATGCCATAAGAATGAAGAGACGTGACCATGAGTTATAATGATAGGAGATACAATGATAGGAAATGACAGCGATGAGACGTGGCGGCAAGAAAGTGAAGACGAGGAACCGTAGAATATAATGATAGGATCCAGTGCAGCTTAAGCATTCTAGTGTGTCCGGGTGTGGCGTACGGGTGAGTCCGTCATTCAAGACTCAGGCCGTTAACACCTTCTCCCGCGCCTTCAACTTCTCTGCCGTCCTCTCTCCGCCTCATCATTGGACGGAGGACTGGACTCGCGAGTCCAATCTGAGCGCGTAGTGTTGGACTAGACAGCACGCTTTGAGCACCCCAGCTCATGGGGCGGGAGCCATTCAGGCCGGAAGGTGTGACGACAGGCGAAGAAGCCCCAGAATTCGGCACAACAGGGATAGCGATTGGATGCGGCAGCTGTATACGCCCACTCCCATTAGGCGTGCGAGGTGCAAAAAGCGAAGGTGTTGAGTCTCGAAGGTATGATACCGACGGAGATACGGCCCGTCTCTTTGCAGGAAGAGGGTAGGGATCATAACGATCGTCCACTACAAGTTTGGTCAAATTAGTCACTTGACCGCCCAATTCATGGAAGACTATCAACTCACTCTTCCTCTTATTACTCCGAACAGCACTTGTTGCGGTTGGAGGGGGTGTGTAACGCCATGAGGTCATCTTGGGAGATCCGCAAGCCGAAGAAGGTTGCTGAAACTATGTCAGGATGAAGGCTAGGGATACAAACGGCGTGTCAAACTTACGGTGTCAATGTCCATAGCATTGGTGCCTGGACTCTCCGAAAAACCGAAATCGTCTCCATTCACGCTCTGCGCGGGTGTGACGGACTTCGGAATATTGATAGGCTCCGTGGAAGGGTGAGAGTACGAGGACGGTGCAGCTATTCCAGGGTCGCCTTCATCGTCACTTGATACAGGGTCGTCTCGCACTGGTTCGTCATCTCCAGCCTCGTCTGGATAGCGGCCTCTATCCAAGAGAGAACGAGGTATTCCAGGGTGGGTGGAGAACGACGCAACAAATTTCTGAAACTGAGCCTCAGATTTGACCTCGTTCTCTTCTGGCTTGGACTCGGAAAGCAGAGTGAGGATGCGAGGCACCTTTATCTGAGTCGCGTCGGCCGTCAGCACGCCTGTGTAAGGCATGAAACGATTCCGGCTCACAGGGTGAGATTTCCGGCGCGACTTCTTCGACCGTGAAGGCGTTTGGCTCACTTCACTGGATGGCTGAGAGGGGGTGCTCGGTTCGACAGTTGCAGTGCTTTCCGTTTCGATGCTGTAGCTGGAAATGCCAGTATTCGACTTCATGCTGCTGTCACTGTCCACACTGGACGTCGACTTGTCCTTCTCCGCGAAAACAGCTGAGGGACAAGGCACAGGCGGTGTCGATGGAGTATTCGAGCCGGAATCGGTGAAGGGCGGGCTGTCGGTCCACATCTTTTCTCTATCGCTCTCCGACTCCTCGCCACTCATACTAAGGCTGCCTGTCGAGGCATGCCGATGAGCGGAGGATGTCGTGAAAGACGAGCTTGCGAGAGGGCTGTTTATGCGTCCCTCGGAGTAGAACGTCGCACGAGGTGGAGCCAGGAGGCTCGGCCGACGAAAACGCATAAGTAGAGGGTTGAACTCCTCGCCGGGCGGACCGGGGCCCACTGTGGAGGTCGATGGGGGGAGGGCAAAGTCGGAGGAGGAAGTCGGTAGAGGTGGTCTCGCCGCCATCTCACACGGTGACGGGACGCGTTATGTTCGTTGAAGTGCTATACAAAGCGAGTTAGGCGGGTCAGGAGGGTGCCAGGGGAGGAAGGGGAGAAAGGAGTGAGAGGAGTGCGTCAAGGGACTCATCAAGTACTATCGAGTATGGGCGCTCGCAGTCCAGTTCAGATGGCCTCACCTGAACCGAGCCAGAGGGCGTGCGACTCAACTGCCGGATTCTCATTGTTGCTCTACAAATTAACCTGACTACAAAACATGTACCGATTGCACCGAGGGTACGAATGGAACAAGGAGAGAGACAACAGAATATGTAACGGTGGTATCCAGCCGGGACAGCGAGCAAGATCTGCGTATACATTTCATCCGCGTTCATCAGCACTTCGAGGATACCTATGATGGGAAGGCAGCAACTTCGAGTGAATGTAAAACGAGGATAGAGCTGGTAGCCCCAGCGTACTATATGGACGCGGCCCGGAAGAGACACGAGTCGCTTTCCGGGGCGCTTGACGCTCTAGACCTGGCGCATCAATTGATCCCAAATCGTGTGGCGCTTCTACATGATAATTTTCGAGAGTGCTACTTCACTTGCCCAGCCTCCCTCAGAGGACTTCATAATGTCAAAACGTACAGCGACGGAGCTGCGGACCGTACTATCTAGCGATGCCAAGAAGCCCTTTAGAGCTCCTTCGAAAAAAGCTCAGGGTGAGGAAATGGGCGAGTTTGAGGACGCCTGGGAGGATGAAATTGAGAGCGATGAGGAAGCGATGGAGGGAGGCAAGGGCCATGGTGCGTTCCCTTCTTTCTCCGTTCATACTTCTATTCTAAGTACAGAAATTCTAGACATGGAAGTAGACGAAGAAGTCCTTCCGCCAATAGAGGAATCTGAGGAAAAACAGGTCGCACCAGATGTTTTCATTCCCGGTGTACATCAGCTGGAGAAAGACGAGATACTCGAACCAGACGAATCTGTCTACGTCATGCGCCATTCCATGAATGTTAACTGGCCATGTCTCTCCTTTGACGTGCTCCGGGATAGCCTAGGCGATGAGCGGCAGCGTTTGCCTGCGACTGCCTACATTGTGACTGGTACCCAGGCGGACGCAGCAAAGAACAACGAGATTGCTGTTTACAAGATGAGCTCACTGTACAAAACGCAGCGGAGCGAAGGTGAGCGAATGATTCTATCCATTCCCTAATCGGCTATAGTAACGTCTAGCATAGACGACTCAGATGACGAGAACGAAGATGACGATGATGCTTTGGATGAAGACCCTATTGTCGAATTCCGCTCAGTACCACACCTTGGCGGCGTCAATCGTGTTCGCGCGCAACCCATGCCGCAGTCAGCACCTTTGCCTCCGGTCTCGCAGCCATATTACGTCGCGAGCTGGTCTGAGACTGGCAAGGTACACATCTGGGATGTTAGACCATTGGTACAGGCTCTGGACGTCCCCGGATACACCATCCCCCAGTCAAGGACGCACTCGCCTGCTTTCACGATTAGTTCACATGGCCGTGCAGAAGGATTTGCTATGGATTGGGCTTCCTCCGGCGAAGCGAACCCTTCCGCTCTCCGCCTGTTGACTGGAGACATGCACTCCACGATCTATCTCACAACCACCACCCCCTCAGGCTTCAATGCGCTAGCATCACCATTTGCCTCGCACACCTCCAGCGTGGAAGATCTGCAGTGGAGTCCATCTGAAGCGACTGTTTTCGCATCGTGTTCCGCCGACCAGAGTGTGCAGATTTGGGACGTACGGAGCAAGGGCAGGAGAAGTGTGGCGGGTATTGACCGGGCTCACGAAAGCGATGTCAATGTCATCAGCTGGAACCGTGGAGCAAGTTACCTGCTCTTGAGTGGTGGTGATGAGGGCGGCATTAAGGTTTGGGATTTGCGGAACGTCAAGAAGCGAGGGCAAGTGATTTTCCTTCTCTCCAGCTTTTCCTGTGCTTAAATTACATCGTTAGTACGTCAGCTCCCGATCCTACACCAGTGGCCAGGTTCAACTGGCACCGCGGACCAATTACCTCGATCGAATGGCACCCAACAGAGGAATCGATATTTGCCGCTTCCGGTGCGGACGATCAGGTCACACTCTGGGATCTTGCTGTCGAACAAGACGACGAAGAGTCCGGCGCGATGGACGACACGCCCAAAGGAGGTGGGGACGTCCCACCACAGCTCCTCTTCGTCCATCAGGGCCAAAAGGATATCAAAGAGGTGCACTGGCACCCCCAGATTCCTGGAACCGTGATATCGACCGCGTTAGACGGCTTTAACATTTTCAAGACCATTTCCGTGTAGAATGAGTGCGATGTGTATTCGTTAAGTCAACCAGCCACATGAATATATCCTACTTCTAAAGACTGTCGACGTGAGAACGATTAATCTGCTGTACTAATGGGTCGTCCATGCATACGAGCGTCGTGACTAACAGTGAAAGTCGACGAAAGAAGCTTCCCCGACGAGCTGTAGTTGCGAAAATATCTCTCAATACAGTCCAGTTGCATTGTTGCCCTTCGGGGTCCGAAGCTGTGCAGATCACTTGCGTAAGCAAGACACAACGTAGCATGAAAACGTAGCATACCTTTCCGATGTTCTTGTGCAGAATATCAGTCAAGATGGCATAGACATTCCTGATGTCATAGAGGTTCTGCTTTGCCACGTAAAGCTGCTTCTCGTCGTGCTCCTTCAAGGCCAACTGGGAAGATATTACGTTGAGGGTTAATTCCCGAACGACTGGGGCGGAGCACTTACAAGATAGTCCTCAATGTGAGGGTATTTGAGAATCTTAGAGCAAAGCTTAGCACGGTTGAAATGGCTCTGTCGTGCAGCATCTCGCAGATTGTACGCGCTTTCCTGGGAGCGGTGAAGCTCATTCAGAACTTCTTCCTGTATTTGGACGCCTATGGCCGATCTTTAATTCCAAGGAGATGCTGAACAACCTTAGAAGCTTACCGAAGTTGTCGCCACTGCAAACAACCTACGTATCAGTCTACCGCAATTTCGACGAGAACGGAAGTACAGCTCACTCTTCAATCCTAGAGGGAGTCAATGAGACACAAAGCCGCATACAGATATATAGGAGACTTACTTAGGCATAGAGAGATTAATCCAGAGTTTCACCTTGTCCTGTAAAGGGTTTGTCAGCTATGTCTCGGTTACGCAACCCATGAGCATACCGACTCACAATGGAGTCCGCCAGCTCTTCACACTCCTTTTTCAGGATGCCATGAACCTTCTGGATGTGCTGGTTGGCAACCATCTGGTTCGTGAACCGCGCGCCTGCGTCAGTGTGTGCAGTTCCTGCACCGTCGTGCGGCATCCTGCCATTGGGAGCACTGTCTCCCAATTTCCGCTTCTTTGACTCGGGTTCGTCGGAAGTAGTGGTCGGAGACGGGTAGACAGTAACGTCAGTGGTCAGATGAGAGAAGTGGAATGGAGACGATGAGGAGGATGTCGAGACAATCATCTCTTGCAACTCGCTATCCGGACAGAAAGGTCAGCAATGATCCAGACAGACTACTCATCTGAATCCTACGCACAGAACCTACAGCACGTGCTGGCTCAGCAAAGTCACCAACCACAAGAAATCCGCAGATATCAGAGCACACCTTACGAGGGAACTTATTGAAGAGGACATCCTCTGCGGCGGCCGCAGTCTTGTTGCGGAAATCCTAGACCACCGCAAGGTTATAGGTAGTAGCAAAGTGGAAATACTTAATTCTCACGTCTAGCTGCTTCTTAAGAGCTTTGTCTATCTGCATCTCCCGGCTAGACATGTCGACGAATTCTCAGTTGGGCGAGCTAAGGTGGTGGTTTGTCCGGAGACCGGTGAGAAGGACACCCCTGCTAAGCGCGCAAGTCGCGAAACACGCACGCGTCTTTCTAGAACGCTTCCTGTAAGCGCCCTCCTGCCGTGCTTACCTTCATCCTCACCAGCCCTCGCACTGTCGCTGTGGTCGCTAGCGACCCACCGTCACCCATATTTGTATTGACTCCGCGCCAAGAACTTGCAAAGACATACGCTGTACCCTCGCCACAGGCTTCTTGTAGACTCTTTGTATCACACCAGGTCTCATTATGTCAGGCGAAGTGAGCTGCGTTTGGTCCTATCCTTGGTGCAAGCTTTCTAACCTTGTCTTGTAGGATGACACAAGTGTCATTGCTCAGCTTACTGGATTCTCACTAGATAGTGTACTCACTGGCCTCGACCTTCCTACAGGCCCCGGCCTCTCGAATCAACTCGGCATCACAGGAGTTCCCTCGTTCACCAAGAACCAGATATACAGCGAGCAATGGGATGACGAGGAGGCCATAGGGCCAGGACAAGGCGAGGACTTTGAAGACGAGGTCAACCGAGAGCTGGAGCAAGAAGAGGAGGAGGAGGAAGGTGAAGCACCTGTAAAGGAGGAAGTTGTCTCGCCGCGCATGGGCAGGAAAGAGAAGAGGAAGAGGACTGTTGTCCGACGTGTGGAGCGTCCCAAGACTGTCTATGAACGGTTCCCGACCTTCGAGAAAGACAATGTCCTGGACTTTACGGAACTATTCAAAGGCTACACTGTTCCCAAGTCGCGAATATCCAAACGATATTTCGCTGGTGAGTCGCATCCTACGAAAATCTTGAGATTACTCACGTTTGTTCCCAGTTGAGCCGGCATATCCAAAGCGCAAAGAGCAGCCTAGAGGTTTCCTTGAGGCTATTGTGGGCGAGAGTCAACGTCAAGCTCAGAGCAAGCGGGTCGCGGAGGTCGTCGCCGCCGGTGACATTGACCAGGATCTCAGACAGGCTCTAGAGGTGGGTGTCTGAAACCCTTATCCTTGTGTGTGACTGACATTTTTTCAGGACCGCGAGAGTTCGGACATGGCTATCCCTCTCTCTTTACATGACAGGTCGTTCGACTTGGTACTGTTAGCCAACTGGGAAGACCAGATCATATACGAGCCTGACGAGAATACCCATGTGTCAACGAATAACCGGAATAATTTGACTACACCCCTTAACAAGCAGCTTGACGAGGGTTCGTGGACACAGAGCATTATCTGGAGTCCTCGCGCCCCATTCCGTGATTTCACCCAGCTGGAGCTCAATGAGGAGGATGTTGTACAAGAAGAACGCCAGCCAACCAGCGATGCCAGGCCGAAGAAGCGCTTCAGGACGGACAATGCTCAAATTAAGGACAAGTTCAACTTGTCCAACGATCAGTTCTACGAAGTTGCCAAGGAAGGTGGCCGTCACCGTGTCAGGCAGACGTTTGGTCAGCTTGTCGTTGAGCACGCTTATCCAGCGCAGAAGCTCCAGCTGCCCTTTGTAAGCTCTTGCGACGCTCACGTCGCGCATTTGGCTCATATCTGTTGCAACAGTTCAAGACACGACTGTCGAAGCAGGAGGCTCGGTCGTTTCACAGACCTGCTTTGCAGTTTCCATCAAACGTTGAGCTGCACTTTGCCAAAGTACGGACTGCAAAGAAGAAGAAGGACAAGGCTGGACGCAAAATCGGCAAGGGCGGAAACGTCGGCGAAGGGTTGCATCGGACAGGGGACCTCAGTCTTCGGGACACCAGTAACTTCGTAGTATGGGAGTTTTCTGTTAGTATACTGCCGGACATGCAAGTATATACGTTTACTAATTATTTATGCAGGAAGAGCACCCGCCTATTATCTCGAATTTCGGAATGGGTAGTATACTGGTCAATTACTACCGGAAGAAGAATGAGAAGGACGAGCATGTACCCAAGTATGACCTCGGTGAACCCATTGTCATCGAGCCTCAAGACGAGTCGCCGTTCATGAAATTCGGGTATGTGTATCCGGGGCAGACAGTACCGGCATTGTACAGCAACCTCATCCGAGCTCCACTCTTCCGACATAAGCCCTACCAAACAGACTTCCTGGTCATCAAGTGAGTATCGATGATATTATCCAGGCTTCGTGGTGAACTAGACACGTTCTAGGAACACAATCAAGAGCGACA